AAATTGCCAGTAGTCAGTCTTATTGCATGAAAGATTATCATACTCCTTTTGACCTAATTAAGCTACTGAAATAGCCTACTTTGGTAACTATGGAAACACTTTCAAGTAAATTGGTTTCACAAACATTATGAACACAATATCTATCATACATACAGTACAGATGTAGGATCTTAATTTGATCACCCTGTTGCAGGAGAACTTTCCATTTTAAACTTGTAGCGTATTTTAGGTTTAAAAAGGCTTCTAAAGGTTGTAATTTCCACTTTGAAATTTGACTTGATTTTCCCTTATGAAAAATGTATCAACCTCTACAAAAAAAAAATATATATATATTTTCCTGTTGCTGCAGGATTATTTTCCTGCTGTAGCAAACTGGCTCAAATTAAGATCCTACCTTTCTACTGTGAAAAATAACATGTTAATTTTAGAACTTCATCCTCAAAACAAGTCAATGTAAGGGTCAAAGACAAAGCATACTCACCATGCAGGGCAAACGACTCTATGAAGACCAGCATTTTCACATTAGCTGAGCAGCTTGTAACAGGAATGGTAGAGAGAGTGAGATCATCAGTCTTCTTCGCCAACACAAGCCAGTCATGTTAGTCACTAACCAGTGATTTAGCCATCATATCCTCACTGCACTACAGACAAAGCAAACCTCCTCTGTCAGGACTGAGCAAGTCCTTTGTCATCACAATGTTTCATCTGGGAGACAAAACATACTTCAGAAACATAAAAATGGTTTAGGATTTGTTCCATACCTTACTCAAATACTTAATTTACAGTGCATTCGGAAAGTTTTCAGACCCCTTGTCTTTTTCCACATTTTGTTACGTTACAGCCTTATTCTAAAATTGATTAAATACTTTTTCCCTCATCAATCTACACACAATACCCCATAATAACAAAGAGAAATCTGGTTTTTATAGATTTTTGCAAATTTATTAAAAATAAAAAACAGAAATACCTTACCGTATTCAGACCCTTTGCTATGAGACTCGAAATTGAGATCAGGTGCATTCTGTTTCCATTGATCATCCTTGAGATGTTTCTACAACTTAATTGGAGTCCACCTGTGGTAAATTCAATTGATTGGACATGATTTGGAAAGGCACACACCTGTCTATATAAGGTCCCACAGTTGACAGTGCATGTCAGAGCAAAAACCAAGCCATGAGGTCGAAGGAATTGTCCGTAGAGCTCCGAGACAGGATTGTGTCGAGGCACAGATCTGGGGAAGGGCACCAAAAGATTTCTGCAGCATTGAAGGTCCCCAAGAACAACACAGTGGCCTCCATCATTCTTAAAAATAATTTAAGAAGAAGTTTGGAACCACCAAGACTCTTCCTAGAGCTAGCCTCCCGGCCAAACTGAGCAATCGGGGGAGAAGGGCCTTGGTCAGGGAGGTGACCAAAAACCTGATGGTCACTCTGGTAGAGCAGAGTTCCTCTGTGGAGATGGGAGAACCTTCCAGAAGGACAACCATCTCTGCAGCACCCCACCAGTCAGGCCTTTATGGTAGAGTGGCCAGAGGGAGGCCACTCCTCAGTAAAAGGCACATGACAGCCCGCTTGGAGTTTGCCAAAAGGCATCTAAAGACTCTCAGACCATGAGAAACAAGATTCTCTGGTCTGATGAAAGCAAGATTGAACTCTTTGGCCTGAATGCCAAGCGTCACATCTGGAGGAAACCTGGCACCATCCCTACTGTGAAGCATGGTGGTAGCAGCATCATGCTGTGGGGATGTTTTTCAGCAGCAGGGACTGGGAGACTAGTCAAGATTGAGGGAAAGATGAACGGAGCAAAGTACAGAGAGATACTTAATGAAAACCTGCTCCAGTGCACTCAGGACCTCAGAATGGGGCGAAGGTTCACCTTCCAATAGGACAATGACCCTAAGCACAGAGCTAAGACAACGCAGGAGTGACTTCGGGACAAGTCTCTGAATGTCCTTGAGTGGCCCAGCCAGAGCCCGGACTTGAACCCGATCGAACATCTCTGGAGAGACCTGAAAATAGCTGTGCAGCTTGAGAGGATCTTGAGAGCTTGAGAGGATCTGCAGAGAAGAATGGGAGAAGCTCCCCAAATATAGGTCCGCCAAGCTTGTAGCGTCATACCCAAGACTCAAGGCTGTAATCGCTGCCAAATGTCCTTCAACAAAGTAGAGTGAAGGGTCTGAATACTTATGTAAATGCACTGTAGATGTAAAGGAGCTCATGACTTTCTTCAGTACGTTTGATGAGCACGCAAATGGCACATACGTTTATCTTGAAGAGGGGCTACCAAAATTATTTGGTATGCATCAAACGCATGACCAAGCACCACAGTTAAATAAAGGATATTAAAAAACTGTGCTCAAAGGGTGTCACCAACTTACAAAAAGTAGGGAACAAGTCAATTGAAATAAAGGACATTGATATTATTCTACCTTCCCAAAGTGAAATTGGTGCATTCACCTTATAGCCAGTGGGATAACCACTTTACAATATGTTTTTTTTCTTTGGGGTGGGGTAAGGGGGGGTAGAAGGATTACTTTATCCTATCCCAGGTATTCCTTAGAGGTGGGGTTTCAAGTGTCTCCGGAAGGTGGTGAGTGACTCCGCTGTCCTGGCGTCGTGAGGGAGCTTGTTCCACCATTGGGGTGCCAGAGCAGCGAACAGTTTTTCTAAGAATATATCAAAACCACTGAAACCGTAGATAGTAGGAAATGTCTTATGCACTCAAGCATACAGGCATTTCAGAACTGCCAAGTGATACACAAAGTGCAGACAAAATCCAAAAGATATGCTAGGGAAACAGATTACATTATATTCAATCATGATGTCTTTTATACAAAGAATGTAAAAGCAGCCTTTTCTTGTGTGCATTAACTTTTTTAATGCAGTACTTTTGAAGTTCTTAAGATATACATTCAAAAGTGCATTGACAACCTTTCTGGTTTTGCAAGTCAAAACGCTATTTAGAAAAATACAGTACACAGAGTGAGATACAGCCTAAGGCAACTTGTGAATACGCACACAGAGGGCAAATCAAGCAAACAAAAGTGTATAACACATTTGTGGAAGTGCTGGAACAAGACCAAACTCCAAGTCCACAACCAGCACATACACATTTACGGGTGAATACAAAAGTGAAATATTTGACAAAATTAACAAAATATAAAACACTAATACTGAGTGGACTACGTTGTGGTGGCATTCTACATTTAGAGGATATGTCAATGAGAAAACATATCTAAAACATCTAAGGCAGATAGACTGAGAAAGATCTCAAACTGAATGTTAAACTTAGCTAATTCTCCAAACATGTTAAAATATAGGCTACATAAAATTAATAAAAACAAAGATCCTTTTGAAATATTGTCATTACTTTTCAAGGAGCCATTGCATATACATTGAGTGTACAAAACATTAGGAACACCTGCTCTTTCCATGACATAGACTGACTTGGTGAATCCAGGTGAAAGCTACGATCCCTTATTGGTGTCACCTGTTAAATCCACTTCAATCAGTGTAGATGAAGGGATGGAAACAGGTTAAAGAATGATTTTTAAGCCTTGAGACAATTGAGACATGGATTGTGTATGTGTACCATTTAGCGGGTGAATGGACAAGACAAAATATTTAAGTGCCATTGAACGGGGTGTGGTAGTAGGTGCCAGGTGCACCGGTTTGTGTATGTCAAGAACTGTAACGCTGCTGGGTTTTTCACGCTCAACAGATTCCTGTGTGTTAAGAATGGTCCACCACTCAAAGGACATCCAGCCAACATTGGAATCAACATGGGCCAGCATCCGTGTGGAATGCTTTCGACACCTTGTAGAGTCCATGCCCTGACAAACTGAGGCTGTTCTGAGGGCAAAAGGGGGTACAATGCAATATTAGGAAGGTGTTCCTAATGTTTTGTATACTTGGTGTACGTAAAAAAGGGAATACAAATATAAGAATGAGCATAAACATTTAAAAACACAAAAATATGTATGAAATAACAGCCCTTTGAGTATAACTTAGTGATCTATTTGTCATCTCCATACCAAGCTAGCTGTCACAGAGAGGCCAGAGTCAGAGAGGGAAAACAAGCTTAGCCACTTATTTTACTACTAGCATCTCTAGAACAGCCCTGGGGAGGGTTCAGTGCCAGTCATCTGCCACAAGACAGGAAACACCTCAAGTCATCTGAGGTGTTACTGCAAGTCACCCCCTTTCACAACATCAATAATTCTCTACAAAGCCTTTCTGATACTTCCTGGATGTCGAGCTATGGGCAGAAGTTGCCCTTAGGCACAAATCTAGGATCAACTTGTTCTCCTCAAATCCTAACTTCAAACATTGGGCGGGGGGGGGGGGGGGGGGGGGGGGGGGGGGATACTAAACAGACCCAAGATCAGTCTCAAGGGGCAACTGCATTTTACTCTGGATGTCAACAGCTACAGTAGGAGATGGCGTTACAGGGCCTCCAGGCTTTCCTTGTTCAATGTTCCTCTGGCAGACTAGAATGACGTCTTTCCGAAACATGCATTTAAATGAACTGAGCTGTTCTTAATATGTCTTGCACAACATTTCACAACATTGTTGTACTGAACACAGCTCTGGATTGAGACAGGTGGAATATGTCGTTACTGTACAGTGCATTGGGGAGCAAGAACCTGAGGGGAGACCTGCTTTGTGCAGTCTGCTGCGGACTGTGGATCAGTTGAGGATCTACAAAGCATTCACAATGACATGGCTGTCATCTTTGGCCACTGATCCAAGAACAGTTTAAGAGCAACAGGAAAGAGTTCACTAAATGGCCAGTCTCTTGGGCTGCTCATCCGAAAACAGTTGATGAGCAATATGAAGCATTCATCACAAATATGGCAGGTATATTTGGCTGCCGATCCCAAAACAGTTGAGGGTCGACAGAGGAGACATCACAAAATGGCCCCTTGACAGTCTCTTTGACTGCTGCTGATCTGAGGACAGTTCAGAGGCAACAGGCACACATCAAGAGGCATTCTAACTCTTCTGTTGCTGCTGACTCTGGATCCGCTCCAGCTTGTTCTTACAAATGTGGAAGTAGGTGGAGAGGCTCTTGTTCTCGTCCAACAATTTGTTGTGCTCCTGAACTAGACGGGATGTATTTTGCTGCTCCCTTTCATCCTGGTCCAGCTCAGAGATTAACTCCTTCCTACACATCACCACGACAACGGGAGAGAGAACATGTTTAGCATTTTGGTATCCTTCATTCACTGTCACTCTACAACTAATTACTACATACAGTAAAATACTATAATATTCTGTTTTGGAAACAAAGTTATTAGATTTAATTCTAATGAATTTATTCATGTTAAGAGTAACTGGTATCACAACAGATATAAGTTAGTAAACCCTCTTCAACAGTAATTAATTAGACACAACACCAGATTACAGTGCCATCTGCAGTACAGTTTGTACACATTGGACGAACATCTTCTGCATAGGGAATGCTTGGCTCATATGTGACTTACTTTCTCTGGGTGAGCAGGGCGATTTCAGTCTGCACTTTCAGGTACTCCTGGGCCATTCTGCAGTGCTGTTCAAACACAGCCATGGACTCTTTGGAGTTTGAGAATGGGGCCAGGGGCTAAACCCAACCCAGAAATACACACATCACCATCATGCACTTACAATTTACACATCAATTCTGATAATGAACAGTACTTCACTTATTAAACATATTTAATATTTCAAGTGGAGGACACTTAAAATCCAAACAGGGTAGGCTATTGAGATGTAAGTCTGTAAATCATTGCTGGTTGGTTATCAGTATAAGGATTTAGTATCAGTCACGATTGACAATGAATGGAGAAAGAACAGTACCTGAAGCTGGTGATCTAGTGTCAGATAAGCCATGGGGATGGAGCTGTCCAAACCATTCATCTCTGAGGACATAGAAAACATATTGGTAAGCATATATTGTATGTTATACGGTACTGCCCCCTGGTGAACACTGCAGTGAGTGTCAGAAATACAGTAGGTTCCATGCATATAAAATCTTCGGTAAACTAGTTCTAATGCTACAACCAATACTAAATAGGGCCCATACCTGTGGGACTGAAAGGCACTCTCAGCTCTGGCCCTGATTGGCCAGCACATTGCCCTTTGACCTCAGTGGGGGCAGGGCTCTGGGTACGCTCACGCTCAGGCAGGCTCTCCACACTAGGCCCTCTGGACAGGGGCAGGCTGGGGCGTAATGTACCCCCCTGAAAAGGAACATGAACAGCATGAACATGGATGGGGTGAGTTATTACTTGAGCTTTAGTGACAACTATAACTGCATCACCTTTGATGGTTTGAACTGAAGTGGAAATCTAGCTTCAATGCTTTTCAGGGTGTCATCTCTCCCTTGAGAGTTTGTTCCATGTTCCATGTTGCTTTCGGTTCTGTAGCTGTTGATAGTGTTGTCTGCACAGGAACCTACAGAAGAGAAGATTGCTTTTTTAATCAGTTTTTCCAGAAACTTCTGTAATAACAGGAACTTCTGAACTTCATTAATATGCATTTCCAAAGCAATTACTACATAATGTTAATACAACAAAGTGGTACTTGTCTCCAACTGTTTATATAATCCGTACACTTTCATAGCGTATCTAAATCTATGGAACTCACCTGTGCTTGTGGCTGAGGAGGAGCCACTCCTGCTGTTGCCTGGACACTGGTGGGGGTACTGGAGAGGCTCATCAGACCCTGGGAAGTACTGCACACATGGAGGAAGAGTGCAGTGCACAATGCTTACAAGAATTGTATACTGAACAAAAATATAAACGCAACATGCAACAATTTCAACGATTTTACTGAGGTACAGTTCATATAAGGAAATCAGACAACTGAAACAAATTCATTAGGCCCTAATCTATGGGTTTCACATGACTGGGAATACAGCTATGCATTGGTTGTTCAAAGATACCTTTAAAAAAAAAAATTGGGGCGTGGATCAGAAAACTAGTCTATCTGGTGTGACCACCATTTACCTTAATGCAGAGTGACACATCTCCTTCGCATAAAGTTGATCAGGCTGTGGATTGTGGCGTGTGGAGTGTTGTCCCAACTCCTCTTCAATGGCTGTGCGAAGTTGCTGGATATTGTCGGGAACTGGAACAAGCTGTCGTACACGTCGATCCAGAGCATCCCAAACATGCTCAATGGGTGACATGTCTGGTGACTATGCAGGCCATGGAAGAACTGGGACATTTTCAGCTTCCAGGAATTGTGTACAGATCCTTAAGAAATGGGGCCGTGCATTATCATGGTGAAACATGAGGTGATGGCGGCAGATGAATTGTGTTCATTATCCATAGCTTTTGCCTTCCCATACCATAACCCCACCGCCACCATGGGGCACTCTGTTCACAACGTTGACATCAGCAAACCGCTCGCCCACACGACGCCGTACACGCTGTCTGCCATCTGCCCGGTACAGTTGAAACTGGGATTCATCCGTGAAGAGCACACTTGTCCAGCGTGCCAGTGGCCATCGAAGGTGAGCATTTGCCCACTGAAGTCGGTTACGACGCCGAACTGCAGTCAGGTGAAGACCCTGGTGAGGACGACGAGCACGCAGATGAGCTACCCTGAGACAGTTTCTGACAGTTTGTGCAGAAATTATTCGGTTGTGTTTTCAAACGATCCCGCAGGTGAAGAAGCTGGATGTGTAGGTCCTGGGCTGGTGTGGTTACACGTGGTCTGAGGTTGAGGCCAGTTGGATGTACTGCCAAGTTCTTCAAAACAACGTTGGAGGCGGCTTATGGTAGAGAAATTAACATTCAATTCTCTGGCAACAGCTCTGGTGTACATTCCTGCAGTCAGCATGCCAATTGCACACCCCCCTCAAAACTTGAGACATCTGTGGCATTGTGTTGTGTGACAAAATTGCACATTTTAGAGTGGCCTTTTATTGTCTCCAGCACAAGGTGCACCTGTGTAAATATCATGCCGTTTAATCAGCTTCTTGATATGCCACACCTGTCAGGTGGATAGATTATCTTGGCAAAGGAGAACTGCTCACTAACAGGGATGTAAACAAATTTGTGCACATAATTTGAGAGAAATAAGCTTTTTGTGCGTATGGAAAATTTCGGGCATCTTTTATTTCAGCTCATAAAACATATTTTTGTTCAGTGTAGATATAAAATCAAACACTAAAACTGTGGAATAAAGACACCATTTATTAATAACTAAGGGCCCGATTCAGACAGAAATGTATGAGCCTTTCCTATGCGTTTTGATTTAAGCACTTCTCAGTATTTGGTATTCAGACTTACCTTATGCAGGTGCGCAACGAGCTCTTTGGGAGAGACTCCCTTATGTGCACTGAATACATTTAATTAAATCGCTGAAAAACCCTCCCAATTGCTAACCAACAGATTTCCTCATGGAGTTTTCATTCAATTAGGTTTCCATTTATCTAAAGCCATCCCTTTAAATACGGTGTCCCTTTAATTAGAATTTTCTCGACAGACTCAATATAATATATTGAGAAAACGGGTTCAGAATATTAGGGATCAATTAAAGAAAGCCATCTAAATACAGTCACACCCCTTGACTTTTTCCACATTTTGTTTTGTTACATTTGTAATTTTTTGTCAACGATCTACACAAAATACTCTAATGCCAAAGTGGAAGAAAAATTCTAACATTTGTAAAAAAATATATATAAAGAATAAACAATACGAAAAAAGTCTTACACCACCAAATACTCCCTAATGCCAAAGTGCACATGACAGACAAAATTCTCAATTGAGATTTGAATATTGCAAATGGTGAAAATATATTGTATACAACAGAAATAAAACTTCTTCTTACTTGCCTCAATGTATTAATGGCACCTGTTTGAACTTGTTATCAGTATAAAAGACACCTGTCCACAACCTCAAACAGTCACACTCCAAACTCCACTATGGCCAAGACCAAAGAGCTGTCAAAGGACACCAGAAACAAAATTGTAGACCTGCACCAGGCTGGGAAGACTGAATCTGCAATAGGTAAGCAGCTTGGTTTGAAGAAATCAACTGTGGGAGCAATTATTAGGAAATGGAAGACATACAAGACCACTGATAATCTCCCTCGATCTGGGGCTCCACGCAAGATCTCACCCCGTGGGGTCAAAATGATCACAAGAACGGTGAGCAAAAATCCCAGAACCACACGGGGGGGACCTAGTGAATGACCTGCAGAGAGCTGGGACCAAAGTAACAAAGCCTACCATCAGTAACACACTACGCCGCCAGGGACTCAAATCCTGCAGTGCCAGACGTGTCCCCCTGCTTAAGCCAGTACATGTCCAGGCCCGTCTGAAGTTTGCTAGAGTGCATTTGGATGATCCAGAAGAGGATTGGGAGAATGTCATATGGTCAGATGAAACCAAAATAGAACTTTTTGGTAAAAACTCAACTCGTCGTGTTTGGAGGACAAAGAATGCTGAGTTGCATCCAAAGAACACCATACCTACTGTGAAGCATGGGGGACCAGGACGACTGATCCGTGTAAAGGAAAGAATGAATGGGGCCATGTATCGTGAGATTTTGAGTGAAAACCTCCTTCCATCAGCAAGGGCATTGAAGATGAAACGTGGCTGGGTCTTTCAGCATGACAATGATCCCAAACACACCGCCCGGGCAACGAAGGAGTGGCTTCGTAAGAAGCATTTCAAGGTCCTGGAGTGGCCTAGCCGGTCTCCAGATCTCAACCCCATAGAAAATCTTTGGAGGGAGTTGAAAGTCCGTGTTGCCCAGCGACCAGCCCCAAAACATCACTGCTCTAGAGGAGATCTGCATGGAGGAATGGGCCAAAATACCAGCAACAGTGTGTGAAAACCTTGTGAAGACTTACAGAAAACGTTTTGACCTGTGTCATTGCCAACAAAGGGTATATAACAAAGTATTGAGAAACTTTTGTTATTGACCAAATACTTATTTTCCACCATAATTTGCAAATAAATTCATAAAAAATCGTACAATGTGATTTTCTGGATTTTTTTTCCTCATTTTGTCTGTCATAGTTGACGTGTACCTATGATGAAAATTACAGGCCTCTCTCATCTTTTTAAGTGGGAGAACTTGCACAATTGGTGGCTGACTAAATACTTTTTTCCCCCACTGTATCTTGATTAGATAAGTATTCAACCCCCTGAGTCAATACGTTACAATCACCTTTGGCAGCGATTACAGTTGGGAGTCTTTCTGGGTAAGGCTCTAAGAACTTTCCACATCTGGATTGTGTTGTGCAACATTTGCCCATTATTCTTTTCAAAATTCTTAAAGTTCTGTGAAATTGGTTGTAGATCATTGCTAGACAACCATTTTCCCGTCTTGTCATAGATTTTCAAGCAGATTTAAGTCAAGAACTGTAACTCGGCCACTCAGGAACATTCACTGTCTTCTTGCTAAGCAACTCCAGTGTAGATTTGGCCTGTTTTTTTAGGGTGAATTCATCTCCAGTGTCTGGTGAAAATCACTTCTCGACTGAGGGACCTTACAGATAATTGTATGTGTGGGGTACAGAGATGAGGTAGTTATTCAAAAATCACGTTAAACACTATTATTGCACACATTGCAACTTATTATGTGACTTAAGAAAAGTTTTACTCCTGAACTTATTTCAGCTTGCCATAACAAAGGGGTTAAATACTTATTGACTCAAGACATTTCAGCTTTTCATTTTTAATGAATTTGTAAACATAAAAAAAAACATAATTCTGAACTGAGGCTGTTCTGAGGGCAAAAGGGGGTGCAATGCAATATTAGGAAGGTGTTCTCGGTGGATGTAAATATAAGAATGAGCATAAACATTTAAAAACACGGAACTATGTATGAAATAACAGCCCTTTGAGTATAACTTAGTCATCTATTTGTCATCTCCATACCAAGCTAGCTGTCACAGAGAGGCCAGAGTCAGAGAGGGAAAACAAGCTTAGCCACTTATTTTACTACTAGCATCTCTAGAACAGCCCTGGGGAGGGTTCAGTGCCAGTCATCTGCCACAAGACAGGAAACACCTCAAGTCATCTGAGGTGTTACTGCAAGTCACCCCCTTTCACAACATCAATAATTCTCTACAAAGCCTTTCTGATACTTCCTGGATGTCGAGCTATGGGCAGAAGTTGCCCTTAGGCACAAATCTAGGATCAACTTGTCCTCCTCAAATCCTAACTTCAAACATTGGACGGGGGGGGGGGGGGGGGGGTACTAAACAGACCCAAGATCAGTCTCTAGGGGCAACTGCATTTTCCAAATGATGCCAAATGTAGGCTACAAATTGAAGGAAACTAACACTAAAGTGACAGTTATAAATGTATGTGGGTAATTACTGACGGTGGCTATCGATAGTGGCTAATATTTAATATGATACAAATTGTAAAACACAGAGAAAAGCCCGGGCATATAATTAAAACATTCTAGAGCACATAAATCTACTCGGAAGGGTAGGCGCTAAAGAAGCCTATAGATTGGGTCTCCAAATTTCATCCCCGCAAATTATGAGGACATACAATAAAAATGTGGAAAAGCGGCACAGCTATTTATAGCCTACTTCACTGTGGAAAAGGGGCCGAAATATGTCTTGTTGAAATTATTTTCAGTTTGCTCCCATATGATTGGTTTCACATTCGTCTCCAGCAATCATAAGGAAAAATCATTTAAAACAATTGCCATTTGTAGGCCTAATTATAATCCCCTTCTCGAAACAGATAAATCATTTACCAAGCTCTTATCAATTTATTCATTTCAGTGCATGGAGAATGGTGTCATTTCTATTGAAAATAGTCAATGTTTTTCCACTTGGAACCGACAGGTATTTGACCTTATTCATGATTTCCTCGCACGTCAAGGTGTTGAAAGTATGAGGGGAATTAAGTCAAGGTCAGAATACGTCGTATCTGAAGACACACCTCTGCCACATCTACATTTCTATGATCTCCACCCCAAACGAATAGCTGGCTGCGTTTCCTCGTACTTAAGTTCAAGGTCAGAATACTCAGAGAGAAAAGTGCATGAAAAGGGAATAAAGTTCAATTTACGCATGCGTAGCTTGGGTCTGAATTCCCCCCTAAGAGATAAGTCATTAAATTGCAGGTATTACTAACATCTATGGGTTATCATTAGTGTTGTGAATGTGAAGTTCTGAGAACATGGGTCTGTGGGGTTTTCCAGTACTGTACCTTCATGAGGTTTGCCATGGTGTTTCTGACCTCCTCCATGGAGGGCCTCTGGGCAGGGTCTTTGTCCCAACAGTGTGTCATCAGGCCCTCAATGGGCTCCGGGAGGTCCTTTATCAGGGGTGGGCGAGTACCTGAGAACCCATACAGGAGACTTGCATCTCAGTCTAAAGAGGCTTCTTCTACTCACCTTCTTTCCTTCATCTAACAAATAGGTGAGGTTTTCTTTCAAACCTATATTCCACCTCACTACACATATATTTTTCTCTTTCGGTTTTATTCCTCGGTGTGTATGTAACTTCACTAAGCGTCTATGGCTCTGTGACCTCTCACCTCTGTGCACGGCCCACATGATGCAGAAGGCGGATCCTCCGATCTCGTCAAAGGGCTTCCTGCGAGTGATCACCTCCCACAGGATGATACCCCAGCTGAACACATCACACTTTTCACTGTAGTTACTGCCTGGACAACAGAGTCACAGAGAAAGATACAGGTGAGTGAAGGAATACAGGTTACACTGAGAACATAGATTGTTCTATTGGTGATACAGAGAGAATTGGTGCTCAGTCCATTTTGGTCTTCTGCTTTTGAATGAAAGGAGGAAAGCCCCTTGCTAAAGGCTACTTGCCTTCAAACACTTCTGGTGCCATCCAGGCTGCACTTCCTTTGTTGTTGGTCATGTGTGTCTGGATGTCACAGGCTGTCCCAAAGTCACAGATCTTCAACACTGTGCCACCCTGTACAAGCAGCAGACTGAAACACATTGCTATGGTTTAGGTTCAGAGAGTGCAACAACTTCATTAAATATGTAAGTACTGTAAACAGACTAGTGTTGCCAAATTCTGGTAACTTTCCCACAATTCCCCCATTTTCCAGAAATCCTGGTTGAAGGATTCCCAAATGTCCTGCTTATTCCCTCGTAATTCTAGGAATCTTCTGGAAAACGGGGAAAATTTGGGAAGGTTACAGGCATTTTGGAACCCTAAAACAGACAGTTTAGGAACAGCACAAACAAAATGGCCATACTTGGGTGGTTTGAGGTCTCTGTGAATGAGGGCCTTGGGTTTCATGCCATGGAGATAAGAGACCCCCTGAGCACACTGCAGACACCAGCTCATAGCGTGGGATGCACTGTACTGGGGCAGGGGCTCAGCTCCATGCAGCACTGGGAATGGACAGACACAACACAGTCAAGACAGACAGACAGATAGACAGACAGACAGACAAAGAAAGAGAGAGAAAGAAAGAAAGCGAGAGGAGGGCACACAGAACAGACAGAGAGAGAACATCAACATGGTAACTGGCACAGACCCTCACAGATCATGGCTGAACAATGACATTCAGTAAGAATCACTTGTACAAGACAACTCACTCAACTACACAGAAATATAGTGGGAGATTGATATACAGATAATTGCACTCCGATTAAGATTAAGAATTCACTATGGATTGGTAAATAGACGAACAATATACTTATTGAAATAGCTTAGAATTTACATTTGAAATGTAGCTGAAAGAGTATTTCTTTCATAATTTTATTTTTTGCCCATCCATCACCCCCCCCCCAGAGGACATAAATAAACATTGTTTTACAACTTTTTATTTTACATTTACATTTTAGTCATTTAGCAGACGCTCTTATCCAGAGCGACTTACAGTTAGTGAGTGCATACATTATTATTATTTTTAAAAAATTTCATACTGGCCCCCCGTGGGAATCGAACCCACAACCCTGGCGTTGCAAACGCCATGCTCTACCAACTGAGCTACATCCCTGCCGGCCATTCCCTCCCCTACCCTGGACGACGCTGGGCCAATTGTGCGCCGCCCCATGGGTCTCCCGGTCACGGCCAGCTACGACAGAGCCTGGATTCGAACCAGGATCTCTAGTGGCACAGCTAGCACTGCGATGCAGTGCCTTAGACCACTGCGCCACTCGGGAGATTTTGTTGTTCATGCATATTCTATACACATTTTACATACATGCCACTTCTTATTTCTTTTACAGAAGTTACATAGCAAGAATTAAGAAATTTGATATACATTACATCTAGATAGATAGTACTTATACATTATAAATCGGGTTCAGTCAATACTATTATAGAACATGAGCTTTTAAACCCACCCCTCAGCTACTCTCAGTCCATCCCACCTATCTCTGTAAACCGCCCTCTTATGATTTCCATGTGCCATATATTTTTCAACTGTGCTGTGATGTTTCACATAAATTCTGAACCTGTCTAATTGTATAGTATCTACAGATTGTAAGTTAAAGATACATATTTTTACTAAAATTATTATTATTATTATTATTATTATTGATTAATTGACTATGGTTTTCCAACTCTCCCAACAGTGCTATTTGTAGGGTTAACTTTAGATACATTTTGTGATTTTTCAGCCATTCCTGAAGCTGTGACCAGAAACAAGCTACATAGGGGCAATACCAAAATAAGTGACCTAATGATTCTGTCTCTTCATAGCAAAATCTGCAGAGCTGAGATGGTTGTATGCCCCATATACATAACATTCTGTTTGTGGCAACTATTTTGCAACCTTTAAAAGGCACAACGGTCAACATTTTGGTACTCAAGTAAAATGTATATATTTAAGATTTTATTGGGTGCCAATTTTGGTCTTTAATATAGGGCATAACTCCACCTTTCCTATTCATAATATCATTAACAAATAATTCATTTTTAAAACATTTTTTCCATAACGAATGTTTTATTTTATCAATTAGTATATTAGAATTTAACCATATTATTTGTTGTAATATTTGTTCTGTCTTTTCTGGAGAATAAAACTGTAATTGCAACATAGCTTTGTATGGCTTGTTTTAGAAAGGGTGATATTTTCAAAGAGTTCATTTTCATTTAACTGAAAGTGAGAGGTTGTAATCTGGATAAAGGGAAAAACGCAATTTTTGAACAAGGGATGAACCATTCTTACTAATCTACTGGACATCCAGTTGAAGTATAACTTTTGTATGACTGATGCTTTTAGTGAGAGATTTAATGCTTTAATAGTTAATAATTTTAGCCCCCCAAACTCATATTCATTATATAAATAAGCCTGTTTTTTTTGTCTGGCTTGCCATTCCAAATAAAGTGAAATATTTTTTGCTCAAATAATTCCAAAGACAAATTGCTTGGCGTAGGCAGGGCCATAAGAAAATAGACAGTGGTGTAAAGTACTCAAGTAAAAATACTTGAAAGTACTACTTAAGTAGTTTTTTAGGGGTATCTGTACTTTACTTTACTATTGATATTTTGGACACATTTTACTTCACTACATTCCTAAAGAAAATAATGTTATTTTTACTCCATACATTTTCCCTGACACCCAAAAGTCCTCATTACATTTCGAATGCTTAGCAGGACAGGAAAATGGTCTAATTCACACACTTATCAAGATAACATCCCTGGTCATCCCTACTGCCTCTGATCCGGCGGACTCACTAAACACATGCTTCTTTTGTAAATGATGTCTGAGTGTTGGAGTGTGCCCATGGCTATCCGTAAATAAATAAAAAACAAGAAAATGGTGCCATCTGGTTTGCTTAATAAGGAATTTGAAATGATTTATACTTTTACTTTTGATACTTAAGTATATTTGAGCAATTACATTTACTTTTCATACTTAAGTATATTTAAAACCAAATACTTGTAATCCTTTACTCAAGTAGTATTTTACTGGGTGACTTTCACTTTTACTTGAGTCATTTTCTATTAAGTATATCTTTACTTTTACTCAAGTATGTCAATTGGGTACTTTTTCCACCACTGGAAATAGGTAAACTGGGATATGACTAAAGAGTTAATCAGGGTGATTTTTCCACAAGTAGGTATTTACCATTCCATGGTAGCAAGATCGTATCTATGTTTGCTAACTTTCTGTTAAAATGTGTTGTAGTAAGTTCCTTTATTTCTTTAGGGATATGAATACTGAGTATGTCCACTTCACCGTCAGACCATTTTATTGGTAAACTACACAGTAATGTAAAAGTAGTATTTTTTAGCAATCCAATATGTAATATGGTACACTTATCATAGTTCGGTTGTAATCCCAAGAGGTTAGAAAAATTATCTAGATCCTCTATGAGGCTGTGCAGGGATACAGATTGTGGATTTATGAGGAAATTTGAGTCGTCAGCGTACAATAACACCTTTGTTTTTAAGCCCTGGATTTCTAGCCCCTCTATATTATTGTTGGGTCTGATTTTAATAGCTAACATTTCAATGGCAATAATAAATATATATGCCGACAGAGGAGAGTCAAAGAGTAATTTCTTACCATTGTATAAAGAGCCACCTTCAGCGTATTCCATAACAAGACAGACCTGTGTGTGAATGTTACAATCATTGTGATCAAATGGAGAAAACACTAAGTGTATGGGATTGCAAATCTGGTGTCAAATTAATATAGATGAAAAACTGTAGACCTAATAAATGAATAATAACTAATAATAATAATAACTAATAAATGAATAATGATAGTCACACTACACTACAATATTTCGTTGAACACTAGGCAAATCATACTAAGAAAACAACTCTTCTGAATGTACTTACTGGATTATCACATGAGCCATAGAGCTTCACAATATTTGGGTGATTTACTCTGGAAAGCTGGCGGAGCTGGATGAAGAAGAGACATGGATAAGTGAAATGGATCTCGCCATCTAAACATATATGTATTGTTTCATTTCCATTGTAATTGGATATCATTTGACTGCTGCTACCTAATTTCAAAAGTGTCAATAAATGTTAGTGGGGGTTTTAAATGATGGACATTGTTGGGATAACAAGACAAACTCATTTCAACATACACTACACCCAAAACCAGGGTTAAACAAAAAACGTGTTTTTCAGAAGTAAAGGATGTTCCTGTACCTCTACTACAAAAGCTTTCCTCTCATTTTCACTCTCTATGGTCTTGATGGCCACATCTTTGCCTTTCCATTTGGCCTTGAAGACAACTCCAAATGTCCCTCTGCCAACAACCTGGAGAAACAAATGTCACACATCTATAAAAACACTGCAACTCTAGTCTTGTAGCATGATTTCAATGAAGATGTTGCGTTTTCATTTCTGTCCCTTCTGTGAGTCCTGGACAGACAGGCTCCCCCTCTAGGCTATGATTTGACATGTTGCTGAGTGGTGGTCTGTCTCGTTCTTTTCTGCATAAATCTACAAATCATTCTAGATACTGTAGCTGGTGTTTTGAAATAAGTATCTTGGCTCCATAGTTGAAATGGGCATTCAGAAGTTACATGGATGAACACAAAACTAAACTTCTCTACTATCCAACTAGGCTAGCTAGTGTGATTTCTCTCACCCCTGCCTGTTTTAAAATGTTCACTCACTGAAGGCTGATGGTTTGGTATGTGTAGCTATCATACGACACCTACCTCTTCAACTTCTATATCCTCATATTCTATCTCTTCAAATGGATATCCTGGAGGTGTCTCAAGCATCTTGAAGGCCGTAGACTCCTTAGAGCAAGCTAGAAAACAACAACAGACTGTATTAGCCTACTGTCTGTCGTTAAACTGGCCACTTTTAGGCAGTATTTCTTTTCATTGCAGCCCTCGTTAATTCATGCCACAACCCCTCCGTAATCGTTTCCATTCGCTGTTGAAACCTACATCGGGACAGGAAGTATGAGGTCGGTTGTCCGTTCCTAGAGCAAGCCGCTGTTTCGAACACTCAGGACGAAGAGTTACATTGTATCAAAAGCGATAAACTATGAACAGCTGTTTATCTGCATTATGTATGAGTATATTTGTTACATCCAACGTGGAAAATCCAATGGAGTGAAGAGCAAATTAGTACGAGTTTTATAGGTTTAATGTCAGAGAAGAGTCCAAACAAATCCCGTTTGTTCCATGGTTTGCGCAGTGAAATGTTCGCAGCCTTGGGGTGCATTCAAGAACAGTAAACTGTTACATATTAGCAACAGTCCGTGCGGGACTCTCAAGATACATCCCAGGCTCAACCCCAGTGTGAAAAGAGGAACACCTACAACAAAGGCCTGATAGATATCACAAATTATTATTTTGCTGCCACCAATGTAGTGATCGAGCCGAGGGGTGGCCGTTTTTGTTGGATTGGGTTGTCAACCTTTGCTGATCTTGAACAAAGCTCACTTTTATTGTTGCATCTGCCTTCCGGGGCGATAGAGGGCGACATACACGAGAGCGCCCCTGTATACGTGCCTCTTTTTTATGGTAGTGATGTGTCATACCGCTAAAAAGTAAGCAAGAATAAGCTACACCTAGCAATAATAAGGACGTGACCTCGGCGATTTCCCTTCAAAATAAAAGTCCCGGGAAAGGACGATTAAAGAAAATTATACAAATCGTCAAAATTCGTAACATTTTATAAGGGAATGTTAGCAGTCTTCGAATTTATCAAAACAAAGTAAATGGTTAATAGCCTTAAAAGTACAAATAATATAACATTGACAATATTCTTAACAGCATTAAAAGTAATGATTACTAGATAGTTATGATGGTAACAACAGTAATACAAATAATTTATTTTACCCTTATTTTACCAGGTAAGCTGACTGAGAAAACGTATTTGATCCCTTGCTGATTTTGTACGTTTGCCCACCGACAAAGACATGATCAGTCTATAATTTTAATGGTAGGTTTATTTTAACAGTAAAAGACAGAATAACAACAACAAAAATCCAGAAAAACGCATGTCAAAAATGTTATAAATTGATTTGCATTTTAATGAGGGAAATAAGTATTTGACCCCCTCTCAATCAGAAAGATTTCTGGCTCCCAGGTGTCTTTTATACAGGTAACGAGCTGAGATTAGGAGCACACTCTTAAAGGGAGTGCTCCTAATCTCATCTTGTTACCTGTATAACAGACACCTGTCCACAGAAGCAATCAATCAATCAGATTCCAAACTCTCCACCATGGCCAAGACCAAAGAGCTCTCCAAGGATGTCAGGGACAAGATTGTAGACCTACACAAGGCTGGAATGGGCTACAAGACCATCGCCAAGCAGCTTTGTGAGAAGGTGACAACAGTTGGTGCGATTATTCGCAAATGGAAGAAAAACAAAATAACTGTAAATCTCCCTCGGCCCTGGGCTCCATGCAAGATCTCACCTCGTGGAGTTGCAATGATCATGAGAACGGTCAGGAATCAGCCCAGAACACAGGAAGATCTTGTCAATGATCTCAAGGAGGCTGAGAACCATAGTCACCATGAAAACAATTGGTAACACACTACGCCGTGAAGGACTGAAATCCTGCAGCACCGTGTATAAAATGTATCGATATCCACACACCCAACTCTCTTACACTTTCCCAGTCCTTGCAGGTATCTAACAACATTTTACAACACAATACAATGCAACAGAGCAACAAACAATATAGTCAGAAAGTTAAATATGCAAACTTGACTGCATTTCAACTGATTTGCCACTCTAAGGGCCACAAAATTATCAGCGATAAGTAAATTGTTGTACTAGTCAATTGAAAATGTGCTTAAAGTTTTGAAAAATTTGCCATTTTGATGATCTGTTTAGATTTCTGTGCTTAGAGTTGTGAAAATGTACCACATACTTGAGAAAATGGTGGCACATGTATTTATGTAAATATAACCTATCGGTCTAATATGAAAAAACGATTTTGATTGGGCTCCTGAGTAGAATGGACCCCCCCATTTACTGCAACACAATGTACAGGAAATTGTCTATGGCGCAATAGGCCTATGTACAGTTGAAGACGGAAGTTTACATACAGTTAGGTTGGAGTCATTAAAACTCGTTTTTCAACCACTCCACAAATGTCTGTTAACAAACTATAGTTTTGGCAAGTCGGTTAGGACATCTACTTTGTGCATGACACAAGTAACTTTTCCAAGAATTGTTTACAGACAGATTTTTTAACTTATAGTTCACTGTATCACAATTCCAGTGGGTCAGAAGTTTACATACACTAAGTTGACTGTGCCTTTAAACAGCTTGGAAAATTCCAGAAAATGATGTCATGGCTTTAGAAGCTTCTGATAGGCTAATTGACATAATTTGAGTCAATTGGAGGTGTACCTGTGGATGTATTTCAAGGCCTACCTTCAAACTCAGTGCCTCTTTGCTTGATATCATGGGAAAATCAAAAGAAATCAGCCAAGACCTCAGAAAAAAAATTGTAGACCTCCACAAGTCTGGTTCATCCTTGGGAGCAATTTCCAAATGCCTGAAGGTACCCACGTTCATCTGTAACAAACAATAGTACGCAATATAAACAAACCACGCAGCCGTCAACAGTCATCCTGAAAATCCAAAAGGATTGAAGATGCTGGTAGAAGCTTGATAGGCTAATGACATAATTTGAGTCACAGTAAGATATCCTTGATCGATTAATTTCAAGGCCACCTTCACACAGTGACATCCTGCTCAATAGGCACATCAAAAAACCAGACTAGGATTCCTCAAAAAATGTGACAAAGGTCCTGGTTCTGATCTGACAATTACCAATGCCTAAGGACCACGTTATGTTAATAGGACGAATAAGACAGCTGCTTGGCCAAGCACCATCCAACCAGAAGGGAGCGTTGCCTAGAGATTACGACTGTGGGGGTGCTTTGCTGCAGGAGGGCTGGTGCACTCACAAAATAGATGGCATCATGAGGAAGGAAAATGATGTGGATATATTGAAGCAACATCTCAAGACATCAGTCAGGAAGTTAAATCTTGGTCACAATGGGTCTTCCAAATGGACAATGACCCCAAGCATACTTCCAAAGTTGTGGTAAAATGGCATAAGGACAATAAAGTCAAGGTATTGGAGCGTGTGCGAGCAAGGAGGCCTACAAACCTGACTCAATTACACCAGCTCTGTCAGGAGGAATGGGCCAAAATTCACCCAACTTATTGTGGGAAGCTTGTGGAAGGCTACCCGAAACGTTTGACCCAAGTTAAACAATTTAAAGGCAATGCTACCAAATCCTAATTGTCTGTATGTAAACTTCTGACCCACTGGGAATGTGATGAAAGAAATAAAAGCTGAAATAAATCATTCTCTCTACTATTATTCTGACATTTCACATTCTTAAAATAAAGTGGTGATCCTAACTGACCTAAAACGGGGAATTTTTTACTAGGATTAAATGTCAGGAATTGTGAAAAACTGAGTTTAAATGTATTTGGCTAAGGTGTATGTAAACTTCAGACTTCAACTGTATGTCCAATATGAAAAACGTACTGCATTTTTTGTAAGGGATTGGCCATTCTTTAAGGGCCGCAAAATGAGCAGGGACGCTCCCCCCTTTTACTGCAACACAACATACAGGCAATTAATTATGTATAACCCTTACGAAAAAAGATTGCAGTTAGATTGCAGTATAACTGAGGTATGCTGCAAATACTGCGTCCAAAATAAAAAATTTTTTTACTGCAGTAATTTTGCAGCGGAACTGCAGTTAGAGTGCAGTATAACTATTTTAAATTATTATTTGTACGATAACGTGTATAAAATGTATCGATATTTCTGCACATTTTCGATCATTTCTGCCATAATTATTCATTTACAAAGCTTACAGGACAGGACTCTTATTCTGAAGAAGCCTATTCCAACAATTCGTGACCCGAAAGTGTTTAGTTATACTTGCCTGTTTCACAACGGTATGTGTCATCACCAAAACACCAAGTAAAGAGTGGAAACGGTGGAAATAGTAATGAAAACCACTGACAGCGACAGCCTGTACATTTATTTTTCTACCGATATTCCTAGGAACGTTACAGATATCAACACAACGTATCGCCGAGGACTGTAGTCTTGTCTATTGTATAGATTAGCGCTAACTTCATCATACTGCAACGTTGTTTCTCCCCCGGTTGGACTGTAGCTGCTAGCTAGCCTAGCTGGCTAATTCCCTGTATCCGCCCTGGTCGGGACGGCATCGAAATGTCCTGCTGCCTTCTCGAGTTCTGTCGGGTCCAAGAACTCAAAGCAGTCCGGGAGTTCTTGTTCCAGAGCAAGCAAAACAACCCTTCCTCGGCGGACAAAAAAGCAGGTACTGTTAGCTAACGCTCAGCTCTAGGAGAGATTAGTTGCTGTTTATGACCAACTTGTGTACTTACTTTACAAAAAGAGACAAGGACTGCAAACGTTAATGTTTTAGCTATGGGTGACGTCACCTATCATCTCGTGCCTGCAGAATTTGACAGCTCTCGAAGTCGCACTTTTTGATGCTAGAAACGCCAGGGGCACGGAATGTAAACAATGCACGTATAACTACATGCCTCTTTATATCCTTGGTCTGTCACATCATGAATAATAGAATTAGAGATTATAGCAGTTAATATGCGCAAGGTGTAGTGAATGTGAGCTGGAGAGCTGCTTCGCTCCGCAGTGACAGCGGGAGGCAGACAGGGATGGAAAGAAAGAGGGGGGAGGAAGGGAGTTTTGCCCTTTGTCGTATGCTATGAGTCATCCTACAGGAGGGCTTCTGAACAGATTACCGCATGATACTGGACAAAGGAAGACACATTCACGCTCAAAGCCACGAGCCATTGTGCATGCATGTTTAAGTCAGACCATAGCAACAGGAGTCCCCTTGGCTGTCAATAGGAGTTCTGTCAATCGCTCTACTCCCCCCACTCACTGATATTTATAGCATCTCCAGCTTCATCCCCTTTCTCTCTTCTGGTCGAGGGAGTTTCTCCACTTTCTCTGTTAGTGTGACCCTGCCAGTCCCAAATATGTTTTACAAGTGTGTGTGTATCATGTATCACCTGGTCTGAGTAAATGTTCAACTTTATAGCCTAACATTTTAAAACGGACAATTGATTCTGGATTGCACCTTCTAGTAATTTGTGATTGCCTTTCTCGCTCTCTCACTCAGAGAATGAGCTGGCCTGGGATGACTCCAACTGGGGTTCATGGGATAACCCTGAGGCCAAAGAAGATGGCAGTGGGGACACCACGGTCAGTTTGTCTGTCTCTTACACTGTTTGTCTGTCTCTTACACTGTTTGTCTGTCTCTTACACTGTTTGTCTGTCTTTTCTACATACTTTATATCTGGTTTTAGTTGTTTAAGTTTACACTGAAAGCGTTTTTCCTTCCCAAATGTTTTATTATTATATCTATTTTTGCACTGTTTGGACTTAGGCGACCCGAAAAAACGCTTAGGCGCCCCGCCCAATGATTACAATGGCAGAAGAATCCCTGAACGTCCTTTGTCCTTGGCACAAAATCAGATAGCACTCTTCCATAGCCCTCAGTGATCTCTGAGGGTTGGTCCTGTTGTGTTGTGTTCCTCAGGGGGTGGAGGAGGACAGTGCAGCAGTGAGCGCCCCCTGGCTGCAGGACTGTGTGGTGTCTCTGTCTCCCTGCTCAGACCTGATGGTCGTCGCCAAAGACAGCAAGGCTGTGTTTCTCTCAGGTATGTCTCCCAAAACACAGACACTCACATTAACATATACACACGCTCAGACATGACACAGACACACTGCTGTTGATGGGGTGTGTGTGTTGACATTTTCTCTCCTCTCCTACAGCGAAGTGGCGGACAGATGACGGAGGCAGAGAGGGGATGACGCTGGCTGTGTCCTGGAGTGGAACTCTCAGCACCGAGGAGGGGTGAGAGAACATGCCGTGAAGGGGTGGTAGAACAGGGGGTTGAGAGGGAGGAGGGGAAGAAACATGGGGGCGGATGGATGAGAGAACAGGGGGAGGAGGGGCGGGAGAACAGGGGGAGGAGGGGCGGGAGAACAGGGGGAGGAGGGGCGGGAGAACAGGGGAGGAGGGGGAGGAGGGGCAGGGAGAACAGGGAAGGGGAGGAGGGGCGGGAGAACAGGGGAGGAGGGGCGGAGAACAGAGGGAGAGGGGCGGGAGAACAGAGGGAGGAGGGGCGGGAGAACAGAGGGAGGAGGGGCGGGAGAACAGAGGGAGGAGGGGCGGGAGAACAGAGGGAGGAGGGGCGGGAGAACAGAGAGAGGAGGGGCGGGAGAACAGAGGGAGGAGGGGCGGGAGAACAGAGGGAGGAGGGGCGGGAGAACAGAGGGAGGAGGGGCGGGAGAACAGAGAGAGGAGGGGCGGGAGAACAGAGAGAGGAGGGGTGGGAGAACAGAGGGAGGAGGGGATGAGAGGGAGGTAGGAAAGAAACAGGGGCGGATGAGAGAGGTAGGGTTGAAAGAATGTGAGGAGAGGAAAGGACACAGAAAGAAGACAAGATTCCAGATTCACTGTGTGTGTCTCTACAGGGAGAGTGTGAGCAGTGTCATCTGTATACCTTTGGCCAGCCAGAAGAGGTAAGCCACCTAGTGTGTCCGTTTGTGTGTCCATCCATGTGTGTTCACTTGTGTGTACATATCAATGTGTATGTATGTAAGTTTGTGTTCTATTGATGAGTATTCTCTCTCTCTCTCTCTCTCTCTCTTTCTCTCTCTCTCTCTCTCTCTCTCTCTCTCTTTCTCTCTCTCTTTCTCTCTCTCTTTCTCTCTCTCTCTCTGTGTGTTCAGGAGTTCCACAGGCCGACCAGACTGGACCTGTATCGCAGTGGGCTTCTCATCTGGCTATGTACGCTTCTACACCGAGGTACAGCAGCATTTACTTGTTACCTGGAAGGCAGAATACCATCAGGAGTCTGGCTGGTGATAATCTAACAGTGGTGTGTATTTTGTCAGAGTGGGGTCCTACTCCTAGCCCAGCTGTTGAATGAGGACCCTGTCCTGAGGCTCAAGTGTCGCACTTATGAAATCCCCCGCCACCCCGGTGTCACCGAGCAGGTACGACTATAGCACACATCGAAACACTGACTGCTGTCTGGGCCTGGATACCAAGGTTCTCTTGGTGACACTTTGTATTTATGAGTCTCTCTCTTTCTCTCTTAGCATGAGGAGCTGAGTATCCTTTATCCAGCAGCCCTGGTCACCATCGACGGCTTCAGTCTCTTCCAGTCTCTACGGGCCTGCAGAAACCAGGTGGCTCGAGGTACTGCTGCATGTGTGTGTGTTTTGTGTCTGTTTGTTAAAGTACTGTAGTAGCAGTAGAGGTAGGGCATTAGTAGTAGTAAAACTAGTTGTAGTACCGCAGTAATGGCGCTATGAATAAGAGCATCTGCTAAATGACTAAAATGTAAATGTAAAATGTTTATGGTGCTACACATAGGATTTCTTTGAATTTTTGCATTGTCATTCCAGAAAATATCCATCATATATCTGGCACTAGTAGTGGAATAATAGTGTTTCACAGTATTACTTACCTGCCAGTGTTGTGATTGGCTGTGGTATTCGCCTATTGATTTCTCCCGCTGGAGCTGCATCTGTTGTCAAACTGGGAAAGCTGTTCTGACTTTGACTGTGTTATCTAGTGGAAATCGCTAAGTCATTTCCTGGTTGCTAAAATTCTACACTGTTCGCTCAATTTCAGTTTATCATTGTACCATCTAAATCGCTGTGAAATGTCTTTTCAATATGAAAAAAAATATTTTTACATCTTATTAAAGCTCATGGTAAGTGACTTTCGGTTTTGGTCCACCAGCATAAAACAGCTGTAAAAACAATATTTTTTGATATTGAAAAGATATTTCACATCGATTTAGATGGTACAATGATTCTCTACACTGTTCAGTGCTTGTCTTCTCACATAAACTGAAATTGCGCAAACAGTGTAGAATTTTAATGCTGTGAAACACTATCATTCCACTATTAGCGTCAGATGGAGAATGGTGCCGGAGGAGATGGCTGCCGTTTTACGGGCTCCTAACCAATTATGCTATTTTGTGTGTTTTTTCACTGTGTTTGTAACTTATTTTGTACATAATGTTTCTGCCGCCGTCTCTTATGAATGAAAAGAGCTTCTGGATATCAGAACAGTGATTACTCACCTCGAACTGGACAAAGATTGTTTTATTTAACGAGTCAGACGCGAAGGATTTACTCGAGATACCCAACCAGGCCCAAATCCCCGTCATTCGCATGAAGAGAAGATGCCGATACAGGGGACGCAGGTCCGGGTGCCTTGTGAGAATTAGTCGGCAAGTGGGTAACCCGCCTCTACCATCCGTCCTATTGGCCAACGTGCAATCATTGGAGAATAAACTGGAGCTCTGTTCAAGACTATCCTACCAACAGGACATTATAAACTGTAATATCTTATGTTTCACCTTGTCATGGCTGAACGACGACATGGATAATATACAGTTGGCTGGTTTTTCCGTGCATTGGCAAGACAGAACAGCTGCCTCCGGTAAGAGAAGCGGTGGCGGTCTGTGTCTATTTGTAAATAACAGCTGGTGCACAAAATCAAATATTGAGGAAGTCTCAAGGTTTTGCTCGCCTGAGGTAGAGTATCTCATGATAAGCTGTAGACCACACTATTTACCAACAGAGTTTTCATCTATATTTTTCGTAGCTGTCTATTTACCACCACAAACTGATGCTGGCACTAAGACCGCACTCAACAAGCTGTATAAAGCCATAAGCAAACAAGAAAATGCTCATCCAGAGGCGGCGCTTCTAGTGGCCGGGGACTTTAATGCAGGGAAACTTAAATCCGTTTTACCTAATTTCTACCAGCATGTTACATGTGCAACAAGAGGGGGAAAAAAGTCTAGACCACCATTACTCCACACACAGAGACGCGTACAAAGCTCTGCCTCGCCCTCCATTTGGCAAATCTGACCATAATTCTATCGTCCTGATTCCTGCATAAAAGCAAAAACTAAAGCAGGAAGTACCAGTGACTCGCTTAATACGGAAGTGGTCAGATGACGCAGATGCTAAGCTACAGGACTCATCCAATGGCATTGAGGAGTATACCACATCAGTCACCAGCTTCATCAATAAGTGCATTGATGACGTCGTCCCCACAGTGACCGTACGTACATACCCCAACCAGAAGCCATGGATTACAGGCAACATCCGCACTGAGCTAAAGGGTAGTGCTGCCACTTTCAAGGAGCGGGACTCTAACCCGGACGCTTATAAGAAATCCTGCTATGCCCTCAGACAAACCATCAAACAGGCAAAGCTTAAATACAGGACTAAGATTGAATCCTACTACACTGGTTCTGACGCTCTTCAGATGTGGCAGGGCTTGCAAACTATTACAGACTACAAATGGAAGCCCAGCCACGAGCTGCCCAGTGACACAAGCCTACCAGACAAGCTAAATGACGCAATCTCTATTGCACTCAACACTGCCCTTTCCCTCCTGGACAAAAGGAACACCTATGTGAGAATGCTGTTCATTGACTACAGCCCAGCGTTCAACACCATAGTGCCTTCAAAGTTCATCACTAAGCTAAGGACCCTGGGACAAAACACCTCCTCTGCAACTGGATCCTGGATTTCCTGGTAAGGGTAGGCAACAACACATCTTGCACACCGATCCTCAACACAGGGGCCTCTCAGGGGTAAAAGGGGATCCGAAACTTTGAACATCCCACGGAGCACCATTAAATCCATTATTAAAAAATGGAAAGAATATGGCACCACAACAAACCTGCCAAGAGAGGGCCACCCACCAAATCTCACAGACCAGGCAAGGAGGGCATTAATCAGAGAGGCAACAAAGAGACCAAACATAACCCTGAAGGAGCTGCTTTACGGAAGAGTGGCCAGAAAAAAGCCATTGCTTAAAGAAAAAAATAAGCAAACACATTTGGTGTTAGCCAAAAGGCATGTGGGAGACTCCCCAAACATATGGAAGAAGGTACTCTGGTCACATGAGACTAAAATTGAGCTTTGTGGCGCAAACCCAACACCTCTCATCACCCCGATATTCTATATTTTGTGTATTGTAGCTTGAGGTGATATACAGTATACTGGAATTCCATACCATTTACTCAACTCTTTCCTCATCTCGTCTTTCTCTCTGTCTACCCTCTCTTCCTCCAAACCCCTTCTCTTTGTCATTATTCTTTACTTTCTATGTGCGTGTCTTCTCTCTCTCTCTCTCTCCCCCCCCTCCCCTCCCCTCCCCAGCGGCGGCAGCAGGCAGTGAGGTGGTCCAGCCTCCTCCTCTGGCCTATAAGAAGTGGGGTCTACAGGACATGGATGCTATCGTAGACCACAGCAGTGTGGGTGAGCGAGAGGAAGAGGGAGGGTCAGATGGATGGATGGGCACAGGGAGTGGGGGGGCTGGAGGGGGAAGGAGGACGGGGAGTGGGCGGGAGAAGAAAGGGGGAGAAGATCATGAAGAATTGATTGGATGGATACTGGTTGAAAGACAGTGAAACTGTAGCTATGTTCTCCATTCTAACTGTGCTCTCTTTTCGTACCTCCCTTCCCAGGTATAATGACGCTGTGTGTGTTTGACCAGATGAAGAATGCATCTATCCTGGGGGGTTTCCATGCCTCTGTGAAGGGCAGCCTCCCCGCCATGAGTCAGTACATCACTGTGGGGGGAGGACCCTACACAGGCTTCTACTATGCCATAGAGGTGTGTGTTTGTGTCTGTCTGCTGTCCATCTTTTTCTCACCTCACGCATGTCTATTTATCTCTCTGAGAGAAAGTTGTAGTAGACCAGTAGCAGGGATTCCTGACTGTCCTATTTTCTCTCCCTCTAGGGCAGCTCCCAGCCTCTCCTCTCCCACGTTGCTCTGGCTGTGGCCAGCAAACTCACGTCGGCCTTATTCACCGCCGCCAGGTGTGTGTGTGTGTGTGTATTCCTTGGTGAATGTTAGGCTTGGGCGGTATACCATATACCAGGGTATTTTGAAATACCCACGGTATGATTTTCAAAAACCCTCACAGGGGTTGCGCGCTATGATTCTGCTTATAACTATGAGTTAAATATCTAAGATTTTCTCCAGCTCAGGGCTCCAGCTATGCATTTGGTTTGCTCTGTATTTTTCCTCTCCTTTCCATTCCGTCTCTTCTCACTCCTTCTGCATTGCCTCTTTTCTCTCTGTACCCTTTCTCTCCCCTCTACTTTTCCTCTCTCTCTCTCTCTCTCTCTCTCTCTCTCTCTCTCTCTCTCTCTCTCTCTCTCTCTCTCTCTCTCAGTGGGTGGCTGGGCTGGAAGAAACAGAATGAGGAAGAGCCAACTCAGAAACAGAAGCCCAAGGTGGAACCGGCCACGCCCCTGGCAGTCAGGTGACCAACACATCCCTCTTATTAGAAGAACTAGGAAATGGTTTCTTCTGCACATACACTCTGACACACTGTCAATTTGCCAAGTTACCTTACCACTTTCACTTGCAAATGAATCAATTTGCCTGGTTTACATTTCTAACTGAAGTGATTGCCTCACCCAACCTCACCCTGTCCTTCCTCTTGTGTCCCGTCCCCAGGTTTGGTCTCCCAGACTCGCGGCGTCATGGGGAGTCCATCTGTCTGTCCCCCTGTAACACTCTGGCTGGGGTCACGGACGACTTTGGCAGGGTCATGCTGCTCGACGTGGGGAGAGGCATCGCCATCCGCATGTGGAAGGGTGAGAGAGATAAAAATAGAGTTTCCCTTTAACACTCAACAGTAACTGAATTTTCTGGTTTATTATAAAGACAGGAAACATTTTGTAGGGTTTAGTTTTCATTGATTTGGAAAAAGGCCCTGGTTATATATCTAGTTATAATCTAATTCTGAGTGTTCCCTGCCCCAGGCTACCGGGATGCCCAGCTGGGTTGGGTGCAGGTGTCTGAGGGGCGGGGCGAGTCTTCCCCGTCTGCGCCCCTCCCACGGCGCCACGCTCAGTTCCTGGTCATCTACGCCCCCAGGAGAGGCATCCTGGAGGTGTGGGGCACACAGCAGGGCCCCCGAGTAGGAGCCTTCACTGTCGGGAAACACTGCAGGTACACAGGCACACACACACATTTCTGATTAAAGCATTTGCACCATTCTAACCAGTAACCATTACCTTCTCTCCTGTGTGAATGTATCAGGTTGCTGTATGCAGGCTACCGGCTGATGGGGGTGAACAGTGTGACCAGTCAGGGCTGGCAGCTCCACACACAGCAGGTGTGTCTGTTCGACCCTGCTACTGGAGTACTACGCACTATCACTGTCCCCTTCCATCTGGCCCTCAGGTGAGTACATACACATACTTCGTATCAGGGTTACAATTATTTTCATGTGAAAAGTTATTTCGAACACTATGGTCTCTCGATAGTCATACATGACAAAAATACACACGCAAAATGCTGCAGTGCAGTAACAGTGTTGACTCCTGTTTCAGTGATAAGAAGAGTGAGAGAGCAAAGGACATGCACCTGCTGAAGAGACTGACCACACTACTGAAGAACAGAGAGGTGGAAGCAGGTACGACAGAGATGGACGGGGAAAATGAAAAGATGAGAGTGTGCCCTTTCCAGAAGTATTTGAACAGGGCAAACAAGAAGAGCTCTTTCTTACCTTTGACCTTCTCTCCTCAGATATCCTGGAGAGTGAGGCCCAGAGTGTACTGCTGGACATCAAACACCCTGCTATTAAGAAACAGGTCAACGAACACACACACACACACACACACACACACACACACACACACAGACACTCAGACACAGAGGGGGGTCAGCACACCCAGGGAATGTCCTTCCTTATTACTTTCTGCTCTCTGTCCTGCACTTTAGGCCCTGGAGTCTCTGCTAGCCAATAAGAATGCTCCAGTCTCCTGTCTGACCAACATCACCCGAGTCTTACTGGCCAGTCTCAGGGGGAAAGGTACCGTGCAGTTCTGGATATTTATTGAGAATGAATATCAAAACCATGTTTTTGTACAAATATGTGTCTTAATGCTTCTGTGTTTGTGAATGCCTGTGTGTTGCCTGTGTGTTGTCCCTGCAGACCCTGAGGCGGTAGATGAAGCATTGCTCCAGTTGTGTTCCTCCCAGCTGAAACTGCTCCAGCTCTACACCGACATCCAACAGCTGCACTCTACTGTGGAGGCTAGCACAGACACACACACTATGCCTGTGAGTGCAGAACCACCACGCACACACACACGTTTTGTTCATCTATCCTCGTGGGCCCTAAAATTAATTTCCATTCAAAATCACATTTTCCCTTACCATAACTCTAAATCTAATCAATAACCCCTTACCCTAATTCTAACCCTAAACCTAACCCCTAAACGTAAAATAGCCTTTGTCCTCATGAGGATATGGGAAATGTCCCCAAAGGTCCCCACAAGGATAGAAGAACCAACCCACACACACATATACAGTACATACAAACACAAACACACACACACACACACTAAACCTGTGAGTACAGCATTCTGACACTGAATAAACTAGCTACATTCAGAACAGTAAACAGCAGGCTGAGTTGCCAACAACATTTACCAATTTGGAATTTTGAACTACTCTTCTTTTTCTCTTCTCGAGTGAGACCGCGGAGCAGCCGTTTTTGCAGAGGAGAGTGCCGCTAGGAGAGAAGAGGAGTAGGAGAGGAATAGCGGGAGGGTAGAGGTAGAGGAGTAGGGGAGGAGCCAAGGATGCGGAGCGGCCGCAGAGGAGCAGGAGAGTAATGAGAGGGGAGAAGGATCTGCTAGTTCTAGTGACGAGGCGTTCTCTTCTCTTCGCTCTGCTGATTTATTCTCTTCTTATTCTCTTCTCTTCTTTCTCTTCTCTTCTCTTCTCTTCTCTTCTCTTCTCTTCTCTTCTCCACTGCTTCCTCCTATCCAGACAGAGGTTGCAGGAGTAGAGGAGGAGCTGGCCCGCGTCTCCCTCATCCTGCAGCGCTACACAGAGCTCACCTCCGGCTCCCGCCCCTCCGTCTCATTCGCCCAGGACTCCCCTGACGGATCACTTCCTGTACGCAGCTTTCTGTCCCAGATGGAGTGTGATGGAGAGGAGATCAGGGTGGTCCCAGGGCCCGACACAGACTGGACACAACTGGGTAGGATGAACGTGCGCACACACACACACACACAAACACAATTCGTCACATTACCCCTATACAAATCTACCTCTATCACTCCAGTATCCCTGCACATTGTAAATATGATACTGGAACTGACTGAGCCTGGATATAGTATTCTTACTTTCTCGTGTTCTTATTTTTATTTCTCGTGTGTTTTTGTTCTACCTTATGTTATTTCTAGTATTACATTGTTATTGATTACTGCATTGTTGGGTTTAGAGCTTGCAAGAAAGCCATTTCACTGTACTTGTGCACGTGACATTGAAAACTTGAAAATGTGTAAAATTGCAGGAAATTAGCTTTAAAACTGCTACATTTCCCCTTCGCTCCATGGCATAATGTGTACTTGTGCACGCGACATTAAAAACTTGAAACTTGAAACCTATGTGTATAAGGGGTAAGACTGTGTGTTGTTTTCCCTGTAGGGAGCTTTCTGTTCTGGGGCTGTCTGACAGGAGAGAGCCCTCTACAGAAAGTCTGTGACACACTCCAGGAGACCGGCATCAGCCCACAGCATTTACTGGTGAGGAGAGGAAGGAGAGTGGTATGGCAAGAGGATGGGAGTGTGACGTGCACTAATATCCATTTTGCATGCAGCACATGCTTTTTACCAGTGCTGCAGCGCAGGGAATTTTTTAAATATTTTATTTATTTTAATTATTTCATCCTTAATTTAACCGGGTAAGCCAGTTGAGAACAAGTTCTCATTTACAACTGCGACCTGGCCAAGATAAAGCAAAGCAGTGCGATAAAAACAACAACACAGAGTTACATATGGGGTAAACAAAACATAAAGTCAAAAATACAACAAAAAATATATATACAGTGTGTACGAATGTAGTAAGTTATGGAGGTAAGGTAATAAATAGGCCATAGTGCAAAATAGTTACAATTTCGTATAATACTGGAATGCTAGATGTGCAAAGGATGATGTGCAAATAGAGATACCGGGGTGCAAATTAGCAAAATAAATAACAATAATGGGATGAGGTAGTTGGGTGGGCTAATTTCAGAAAGGCTGTGTACAGGTGCAGTGATCGGTAAGCTGATCTGACAACTGACGCTTAAAGTTAGTGATGGAGATAAGAGTCTCCAGCTTCAGAGATTTTTGCAGTTCGTTCCAGTCATTGGCAGCAGAGAACTGGAAGGAATGGCGGGCAAAGGAGGTGTTGGCTTTGGGGATGACCAGTGAGATATACCTGCTGGAGCGCAGACTACGGGTGGGTGTTGCTATGGTGACCAGTGAGCTAAGATAAGACAGGGATTTGCCTAGCAGTGATTTATAGATGACCTGGAGCCAGTGGGTTTGGCGATGAATATGTAGTGAGGGCCAGCCAACAAGCGCGTACAGGTCACAATGGTGGGTAGTATATGGGGCTTTGGTGACAAAACGGATGGCACTGTGATAGACTACATCCTATTTGCTGAGTAGGGTGTTGGAGAATATTTTGTAAATGACATCGCCGAAGTCAAGGATCGGTAGGATAGTCAGTTTTACGAGAGCATGTTTGGCAGCATGAGTGAAGGAGGCTTTGTTGCGAAATAGGAAGCCGATTCTAGATCTAACTTTTGATTGAAGATGCTTAATGTGAGTCAGGAAGGAGAGTTTACAGTCTAACCAGACACCTAGGTATTTGTAGTTGTCCACATACTCTAGGTCAGACCTGCCGAGAGTAGTGATTCTAGTCGGGTGGGAGGGTGCAAGCAGCGTTCGGTTGAAGAGCATGCATTTAGTTTTACTAGTGTTTAAGAGCAGTTGGAGGCTACGGAAGGAGTGTTGTATGGCATTGAAGCTCGTTTGGAGGTTTGTTAACACAGTGTCCAATGAAGGGCCAGATGTATACAAAATGGTGTCGTCCGCATAGACGTGGATCCGAGCGTCACCAGCAGCATGAGCGACATCATTGATATACACAGAGAATAGAGTCGGCCCGAGAATTGAATCCTGTGGCACGCCCATAGAGACGGCCAGAGGTCCAGACAACAGGCCCTCCGATTTGACACATTGAACTCTATTTGAGAAGTAGTTGGTGAACCAGGCGAGGCAGTCATTAGAGAAACCAAGGCTATTTAGTCTGCCAATAAGAATGCGGTGGTTGACAGAGTCGAAAGCCTTGGCCAGGTCGATGAAGATGGCTGCGCAGTACTGTCTTTTATCGATTGCGTTTATAATATCGTTTAGGACCTTGAGCGTGGCTGAGGTGCACCCATGACCAGCTCGGAAACCAGATTGCATAGCGGAGAAGGTACGGTGGGATACGAAATGGTCGGTGATCTGTTTGTTAACTTGGCTTTCAAATACTTTCGAAAGGCAGGGCAGGATGGATATAGGTCTATAACAGTTAGGATCTAGAGTGTCAACCCCTTTGAAGAGGGGGATGACCGCGGCAGCTTTCCAATCTCTGGGGATCTCAGACGTTACGAAAGAGAGGTTGAACAGGCTAGTAATAGGGGTTGCGACAATTTCGGCGGCTAATTTTAGAAAGAAAGGGTCCAGATTGTCTAGCCCAGCTGATTTGTAGGGGTCCAGATTTTTTAGCTCTTTCAGAACATCAGCCGTCTGAATTTGTGTGAAGGAGAAGCGGGGGGGGCATGGGCAAGTTGCAGCGGAGGGTGCAGAGCTGGTGGCCGGGTAGTGGTAGCCAGTTGGAAAGCATGGCCAGCCGTAGCAAAATGCTTGTTGAAATTCTCGATTATTGTAGATTTATTGGTGGTGACAGTGTTTCCTAGCCTCAGTGCAGTGGGCAGTTGGGAGGAGGTGCTCTTATTTTCCATGGACTTTACAGTGTCCCAAAACTTTTTGGAGTTAGTGCTACAGGATGCAAATTGCTGTTTGAAAAAGCTAGCCTTTGCTTTCTTAACTGATTGTGTATATTGGTTCCTGACTTCCCTAAAAAGTTGCATATCGCGGGGGCTGTTCGATGCTAATGCAGTATGCCACAGGATGTTTTTGTGCTGGTCAAGGGCAGTCAAGTCTGAGGAGAACCAGGGGCTATATCTGTTCTTAGTTCTGAATTTTTTGAATGGGGCATGCTTATTTAAGATTGAGAGGAAAGCACTTTCAAAGAACAACCAGGCATCCTCTACTGACGGAATGAGGTCAATATCCATCCAGGATACCCGGGACAGGTCAATTAGAAAGGCCTGCTCGCTAAAGTGTTTTAGGGAGCGTTTGACAGTGATGAGGGGTGGTCGTTTGATCGCGGACCCATTACGGACGCAGGCAATAAGGCAGTGATCGCTGAGATCCTGGTTGAAGACAGCGGAGGTGTATTTAGAGGGTAAATTTGTCAGGATGATATCTATGAGAATGCCCATGTCTACAGATTTAGGGTTGTACCTGGTATGTTCGTTGATAATTTGTGTGAGATTGAGGGCATCTAGTTTAGATTGTAGGTTGGCCGGGGTGTTAAGCATATCCCAGTTTAGGTCACCAAGCAGTATGAACTATGAGGATAGATGGGGGGCAATCAGTTCACATATGGTGTCCAGGGCACAGCTCGGGGCTGAGGGGGGTCTGTAGCAAGCGGCAACAGTGAGAGACTTATTTCTGGAAAGGTGGATTTTTAGCAGTAGAAGCTCAAACTGTTTGGGCACAGACCTGGATAGTACGATAGAGCTCTGCAGGCTATCTCTACAGTAGATTGCAACCCCACCCCCTTTGGCAGTTCTATCGAGACGGAAAATGTTGTAGTTGGGGATGGAAATTTCTGAATATTTGGCGGCCGTCCTAAACCAGGATTCAGACACTGCTAGAACATCAGGGTTGGCGGAGTGTGCTAGTGCAGTGAATAACTCAAACTTAGCAAGGAGGCTTCGGATATTAACGTGCAAGAAACCAAGGCTTTTACGATTACAGAAGTCAACAAATGATAACGCCTGGGGAGTAGGAGTGATACTGGGGGCTACAGGGCCTGGGTTAACCTCTACATCACCAGAGGAACAGAGGAGGAGTAGAATAAGGATATGGCTAAAGTATTTAAGTACTGGTCTTCTAGTGCGTTGGGTACAGAGAAAAAAAGGGGCAGGTTTCCGGGCGTTGTAGAATAGATTCAGGGCATTATGTACAGAAAAGGATATGGAAGGATAGGAGTACAGTGGAGGTAAACCTAAGCGTTGGGTAACGATGAAGGAGAGAGCATCACTGGAGGCACCGATTGAGTCGGTCTCTGCGTGTATGGGGGGTGGGACAAAAGAGCTATCTAAGGCAGGTTTAGCTGGGCTGGGGGATCTACAGTGAAATAGTACAATCTGCCCAACTGTATGCATCCATCCATATTTTTTTATCTGTACCTCCGATTCAAGGAAGGGGAGATTTGGGTATGGGAGGAAGTATAGACTGAAATAGAATGAAATGTAACTCTTCCATGTTGTCTGTCTGTGTGTGTGTCTATGTGTGTGTGTGTTCTTTCCCTCAGTCTCTGTTGCTGAGTGTATGGCTGCACAGAGAGAAGGAAGTATTGAAGAAACCAAAGGCCGTCAGACACCTACACACACTCCTCACTGCCCTCAGCTCCATGAAAGGTGTGTGAGCACATCTTATTTTGTAATGTGGTCTGTGCTGTGATAAAATTGAGTTAGCAGTTGGGTTGTGGTTAGATAATAGGTAGTGGAGTCCACAGGAGGCTAGTGGCTCCTTAATTGGGGAGGACGGGCTCGTGGTAATGGCTGGAGCGGAATTGTGGAATGGTATCCAACACATCAAACACATGGTTCCCAGGTGTTTGATCCCATTTGTTCCGTTCCGGACATTATTATGAGCCGTCCTCCCCTCAGCAGCCTCCTGTGGTGGACTCCCATTGACTTTCGTAGACGTCTGTGTTTCTTCCTCCTCTCCTTAGGTGCGGTGGAGGAGTCATGGGACATGCAGTGTGTCTCCCCCTGGTGGCAGCAGGTGCGGTCTGCGTGTGTCCAGTCCCACAGTGCTGCTGCTGCACTGCTGGCTGCAATAGTGGCTCACCGCGCTGCCAAGGATAACATCACCAGCCTGGCCGATACCAAGGTAACATACACATGCGCACGCGCACACACACACACACTGATATGTGTGCTTCGTCACTGACTCTCTCTCTTTGTGTGTGTGTGTGTGTCAGTTCCAGTCGGAGTGGGAGGCGGTGTCGTTGGAGCTGGAGCAGTGGGCGGTGTGTGTGAGACAGCTGGAGGATGTGCTGGCCCTGCAGACGCTGCTGTGTATGCCTCCTCTTAAGGGAACACCAGGGGGCGTCACACCACACTGCTCAGTCAAAGCCCTGCTGGAGGGAGGCCGAGGTACTAGATGAATACTATAAGAAATAAAAAGGCTGTGGCTGCGAATCCGTCCCCGTCTCACCCCCCCTAGAACCCCATGGAAAGATCCTGATCACTTTCTGTGCATGTGTGTGAACTTTTGAGCAGATGGTGTTAACAAACTGCAGCATACCTGTGTTTCGATTCAATCAAAGCACATACGTAACCAAAAGTATGTGAACACCTGCTTGTCAAACATCTCATTCCAAAATCATGGGCATTAATATGGAGTTGGTCCCCCCTTTGCTGCTATACCAGCCTCCAATCTTCTGGGAAGGCTTTCCGCTAGATGATGGAACATTGCTGTGGGGACTTGCTTCCATTCAGCCACAAGAGCATTAGTGAGGTCGGGCACTGATGTTGGGCGATAAGGCCTGGTAGAAACTATTGGCCAGTCTTTGAGTTTTTGCCATGTACTGACCGCGTCTGAGTGATTGAAGCGGTGAGAACAGGGCATGGCTTGGGTGGCTGGGGTCCCTGATGATCTTCTTGGCCTCCCTGCGACACCTGGTGTTGTAGGTGTCCTGTTGGCAGGCAGTGTGCACCCAATGGTGCATTTGGCTGCACGTATCACCCTCTGAAGAGCGTTGCGGTCCACGGTGGTGGAGTTGCCGTACCGGGCTGTGATGCAGTCCGACAGTATGTTCTCGATGGTGCTCCTGTAGAACACTGTGAGGGCCCTCGGGGATAGGCTGAATTTCTTGAGCATCCTGAGGTTGAAGAGTCGCTGTCGTGCCTTCTTCACTACGGTGTCCTTGTGGTTAGACCATTTCAGCTTCATTACAATAACGGTATACTATGCTATTATATACTGTCATTGTGATCTTGCAGACATTGATTCAGCTTTGATCTACCGGTAACTATTAAACGAGCGCCATTTGCCAGAGTAGCCTGTTCTCTACGAGTAGAGCAGAGACTGTGTGTAAAGTACAGAATCCCACACATGCGCAGAAGCTTCGGGACCTTTAACCCCCAGGAAGAAAGGTCCAGAAAAGTTGGATCCGCAGCCACTTAAATCCTTGAAGGAATCTCAGATCTGAGAGGCTTGGGATTGGTGAGAGTGGTAAAGTGAAACTTTGCTTTCACCAATCCAATCACATGAACAGTAGATCCCTTTCTTTCTCTCTCTCTTTCCCCCCCATTCTTTCTCTCAGGTGGTATAGCAGACAGTGTGGCTAAGTGGGTGTTCAGGCAGGACTTGGCCCCTGAGCGGCTGAAGGACATGCTGCAGAGGAGGGGGGAGGCCCAGAGCACGGAACAGCCGTCCCAGCCAGTGCTGGGGGATGGAGAGAAAAGCCAGAAGGATGCAGACTTCAATAGGGCAGCAGGTGAGTGGGTACTCCTGTGGTCACTAAACGGATTCCTCTATAGGAAGTGTGGTTGTTGTTGTATTAAAGAGTGTGTTTTCTGTGTCCCTCCAGAGCTGCTGGTGTCTGTGTGTCAGCGATTCCCAGACTCCCTCTCTCCTGACCTGCTCTTTGCCCACTGCTGCTGGGAGTACGTAGTTCAGTGGAACAAAGACCCAGAGGTTTGGCTCCATACAGTACCAGCACACAGACACTCACATCCATACACATTATACACACACACTCACACATCTATACACACACATACACTCACATCCGTATACATCTATATACACACAGTTTGAGGTGTACAATCTAATGTTTTGTTCTCTCTTTCTCTCTCTGTAGGAGGGGAGGTATCTGTGTTGTGCAGTAGAACACCTGAAGCTAGTCTCCAGTCCTCACATCCAGCTGGGTCAGACTATACAGAATCGTATTTAATATTCACGCAGTGTGTCCCTTGGTTTGTGCTATAAGACGACTCTCTTTCTCCTGCAGGCATCTCCTCAATGATGTGGAACACGTTCATCGTTAAACGTTTCTCAGCTGCTGCTTTCCTTATGGAGAAGGTGAGCAGCGATTGTTTGTATGTGAGAGAGTTCTGATGCATGAAACGTCGTTGATCATGATTATCTTTATAATGCTCCAACCCATCCTCTGTTTGTGTTTCCTCCTCCACAGGTTGGGAAGGCCCCTAAAGACCGCCTGTGTCGACGGGTGAGCAGAGCACTGCCCTATTCAGCTTTACAGCTACATGTCTACCTCTCTGATTGGAACTTGTTGATCTTGGGCTGTGAATAGACATAGTACATAACGGTATATACAATTTGTGGTGTTTCTGTGTTTATTCAGGATGTGGGAATGGGAGACGGTGCCATGACATCATTCCTGGGCTCCTGTGCTGAGCTGCTACAGATTCTGATGGAGGTACACAAAAAAAGATGGATGGATGCATACAGTTAGGCAAATTAACTGCGCTGCAGCACAGGTAAAAAGCATGTGCTGTGTGCAAAGTGGATGTAAGTCAACGCCACCCTGCAAGAGGGTTTGCCACAGTAATGATGTACCATTCAGGGCTTGAAATTAAGGGCGTCCCGGGGACGATAAAAAAATTAATATGTCTGGGATGGTTCTAAACAGACGTTGGGAAGGTTGGGGGACGATAGGCCATACAATTAAAATGCATACAACAGTGGTTCCATACTAAAAAAATGTAACACAAAGATGAGGCTGCTCAAACAGATAACAACATTTAGCTTAAAAGTTGATAAACTATGAATAATTCATATTACAAGCGCAGCAATGTGTTCACTCGTCTCGGCCATATGTGTGAATGTTCCAAAATGCTATTACGGGAGAACACCATTCTCAAACGTGCACCTGATGGGAGCAGTTTTTAAAATGCGACAGAGATGGATATACAACTTAATGGTAGAAACTTGGAAAGAGGGAATATCTAAAGATGCAACAATAGGATTGTGCCTTACTGCCTTTGGACAGTAGAAGAAACAATTCTGGTTTCAATGGCATATCAGGAAATCTTAAAGAACTCACTCTTTTTCTATGGTCTAATTTTGGCTGTAGGCTATTAAAAGCAAAACGTCCAGGTTTCAAACAATGATATGGCTGGCTAGACTTCGCATATATATTTATTTAGGTTATGGAAATGTTTAATATTAGAATTTCATTACAATGTTGGGCAAATAGGCCTATTAGAATGCACATTTTACTCTCTCCCAGCCTGTCTGCGAGCCTACTGGCCAGGATCTGAGGTTGCGTGTGCCGGGAGTTGCTGTGGCATTTGCATTGTCTTAAGGTTATTCCAGAGAATAAGGTTGTATCTCTGTGGCCTGAACTGAATGCACACTGTAAAATGTGCAAAGTATTTCTGCCTCGCGCTGCAACACTGCATGGCTGGGGGCTGTGCGTGCGCACGTGAAGAGCTGAGTAACAGATTCATTTTTAGAAGCGCTGGGCACAGGCAAAAAAGTTTGTTTAATTTTCTTTAAATGAGTCTACTGAAGTAAGACTTTGTCCTTGTGCTTCTTGGCTATTTACATTGTTTTGTTCACAAGCTAGGTTGTTTTTCCATGTTTGAGTTTCAATAGCTAGGGAAGAGAAACAACGCGGATACTAGTCACTCTCGATCTGTCACAAACATGACTCAAGTCGCGTTACCACGGTACCCTCCTTTTAAAGCGGCAGGTGAAAATGTTTGTCTCATCTGTGATATTTTTGTTCAAAGACTCAGGTCACAAAAAATGAAATGAAATTACGTCTTACTAGTAATGCATGTATTGTTTCAGAAACATTACAAAGCATGCTCATGTTTTTGTGTGTTTTGTTGGTGTAATGTTACTGGAAATTTTTTTATTTTGTCTGGTAAGAAATCTGAGTGGCTGGTAGATTTTTAAATCTACCTGCCACAGTGGCTGGTGAACCAAAAAGTAAATTTGAGGCCCTGGCTGTTATGTAAGTGGTGGTGCTCAAAAAGGTAAAGGTGACCATTCTTCAGTGACTGAAGAGGGAGGGTGAAGCAGAGAAAGTGAAGGCTGGGGAACACATACATGTTCTTTATTGTATAGGCTATTGTTGTGTTATGTTGTTTAATGGGGCAGCTGGTGGTGGAATGTAATGTCTCTAACTTAAGTTTATTCAGTAACCAGTTCACAATAACATTGTTCTCTCTTAGATATATTGTATACATGTGGTTAACATGTTCAATTAATACATTATTATTATTATTATGAATAATGTAATGGATGTTTGTCTGTTTTCATTAAGGAGGAAAAAAGTTAGTTGCGAGCCCTGGTACCATTGCTGCAGCACAGGGACTTTGAAAAATTACTTTTGAACTAAAGCATTTGTAGATGCACAGATAGACGCCACTTTGGTTGATTTGATAGTGATACTCTCAAGTGAGGCTTTTCCTTGGTAACTCTGAACCACTTCCCCCTCTCCTCCAGGCGGACTCGGGGATAGAAGAGGTTACCCCTCCAGAGCTGTGTGTGGAGGAGGTGTGGGGGGGAGCGGAGGGTCCTGCCTCCATAGCAGAGTTAGCCCTGGAGCAGAGGGGAGTCCACTACCCCCTTGTACAACACCACTGTCTCCTGGCCTCTGTACTACACGCTGCTATGACCTTCAGCCTCCGAGTCAAACCACTCAGCCTGTTCGACAGCAAGGTGAGACAAACACGTGGTGTAAACCAAAAAGTACACACATGCATAACACCTACAGTATACTCACTGCAAGTCTTTCCTTCTTCCAGGGTAAGAGTGCCTTCTTCAGAGAGCTGGTGTCCATCCAGCTGATGCCCAGTGGAGACATGGACCCTGGCCTGGTCTCCCTTAGACAGGAGTTCCTGCTCAGGGTGTTGACAGGCTGGGTGAAGACCCAGAGGGAGGCAGGGACGGGGGAGGCTCCTGCATCTGCCCGGCCGGACCTTGATTCAGGGGACGAGACGTGGCCCTCTCTGTGTCTGGACCTGGGGCCCCTGCTGCAAGTCAACCCAGACATCCTGCGCAGACACCTGGTGTGTGAGCTGTACAACCAGGGCCTGGACCCCCGGGCAGAGCAAGTAGGTAGTCATAAACACCAACAGGTCCCTCAATACAAAATACAAGTAACGCTATACACACATATTAATCAAATGAATATGATCACTCACAAGGTATATAAAAAAATCGGAAGCCAACTGGTGTGTGTGTGTGTTGTCTGTCAGGTGATGTTGGAGGTGGAGGATAAGGACGTGTTGGGTTCCCAGCTGTTGGTTCTAACAGGCCAGAGGCTGAGCTACTCCCTGCTCCACACCCAGACCCAGACTAAGCCTGCCATGGAGCTGCTGGCACGCCTCCCCCCCACACTCTGCACCTGGCTCAAGGCTATGGTGAGACCAACCTGTGTTACCTTATAACATGTTAGAACCACTGTAGAACAACTGGCTCAAGGTGCTTAAAAGCATCTGTCTCTTAGCTTAATTCAACATCCCTAGTGTTGCGTGGGTTACTAATGGTGTTATTATTTATGTGTGTGTGTTGTCCCCAGGACCCCAGTGAGCTGGGGTGCCCGTCGGTGCCCCTGAGCCAGACCAGTAGGCTGGTGAGCCGCCTCATAGAGATCCTACCTGAGAACCACGGCCAGTACAGCCTGGCACTACACCTACTGGAGGCTGTGGAGGCCCTGCAGGGAGAGGACTGAGAGAGATAGAGGTGGGGGGGGGAAGAGAGCAAGAGGCTCAGGAAGAGAGGGAGCTAGATGGCCTGTGTGAAATTCCGTTCCTGCTTTCATTGCTAGCATCCAGGATAGGAGTGAGAGAGTGTGGTAGTAAACTGGTGAAGTCTATAATCCTATATATTTCCTATCATGTACAGTACAGGAAGGAGAGGTCAGGGAAACGGGGCGTTTTTATGAGAGGAAGGAGGCTCGTGTTCAGTTGAACAAAATTAATTGTAAATGAAAGATGGAGGGAGGGACAGAGAGGATGTTTTTATTTGTTATTAATGGTTTTATTCAATCCAGTGCTTAATTATCAATGGTTAAGTCTGCATTTCTGAAGGGGATATGACTGGCTAGAGGAGTATGGCGTTGGATATGCATTTGTTTTTGTCACTTCCTACTTATTGTTTCTTTTTACTTTTCTGTCTGTCAGCTATACCTAGCAGCCCCTGTACTGTCCATTCTGAGACTTAACGATCCAATCAAAGGGGGTTGCAGGGTGTGTTTGTGTGCCATATCATTGTTTAGTAAGCATCCCTTTCTCCTCACCTGTCCCTCAGATTGGTAATGATGATGTATGATAAACAGACAGAATGGATGATATGGTTATTTTGGGTTATATATATATATATATATACGCTGCTGTACTGTACTAGCTGTGCCTGTCCCCTCTGTACTGTTCTGTAGTTCTACACCCTGGCTGAGGAACCCACTGGGGGCAGACAAAACAGAATAAATAGGTTTAATGCTCAGCATGGTCTATCTATCGTTGGTCTCTTTCTCTCTGGGTCTGGGGTAAGAACAGTCAATGCTGGTCATGGTGGTAATTTCTAATCGGTAGCAGTACAGTATTCTCTCCAGACCATTCAGGTAGATCGATGTTTATAACGTTTGGTAACATTTGTACATAATGAGTGACTGTTTTTTTTCTTGGGTTCATACGGTTGGTCAATGACCTCATTCAGAGGGTGATGGGAATCACTGACTATTTGATGATTACTGTCAGGTAGCGCAATCCCCAATATACCATATCTGGCTTCCATGTGTATTGTGTTGGTTAATATTCAAACTAAAATAATAATCTTTAATTATTTAATGAGTTTGGTATAGTGTACAGGGATAGGAGTATTATACAGAGATTTGCATTTACAAGTAAACATTTGGAAGAACAATCACCCAAAACCATCATAATAATTTGTTAATGAACTCAAAACATCTCTCCCACATTTCTTTACTTTTGACATAGTAACATGAGTTACATTATGACTTCCAATTCAACATTAAACTTGAATAAAAATAAAAACCAAAGCACTCCATTGTACCATCCCCTATATATCCTCTCAACATACACATATAAACTTTAATCTGACTTCATGTCTGCCCTTTGACTTGATTCTCTCAGTAGGTATATTACTGTTCTCTGTGTCTCATAGGAGTGGTTCAGGAGTAAATACATTTCCCTTTCCAGGGAACATCACTGACGTGTGCCCTTCTTTGGGAGAGGTGTCATATAATCCCAAAAGGACTGCATAGCTCTTACACCAGATGATAATTCTCTCCTCTTTCTTAAATAAATAAAAACAAAATGTGTGCTAAACCATCCATCCATCCTCACTCTGCATGCAACAACATGCCAGAGTCAATGTCACTTAAAGAATTGTGGGTAATGTAGTTTTGGCAACTGCTAGACAGTGGCTGTCGCTCTGTTACCCCTCAGTACTGTTGCTAAGCAGGGTGTGTTTCTTTGTTCAAGCAGACAGACCGGGTCAGAGGGTCATTTGCAGGTTGTAATGGTGACGGGTGTGGGCGGGGGTGTCACTGTGCCCCGGTGAGGATGGTCTAGCAGCAGGGGCAGTCCGGGGAGTCTGAGGTGTAACGGCGGCACCGGGTCATAGAGGTGGGCACTGCCGCTACTTGGTAAGCACTGTCCTCATGGATAATCCCACCTGATTGGACAGAGGGAAGAGAGAGTAGTTGTAACACACTATTAATTAATGACAGTGTATTCGTAGTAGTGTTCTAGTAACAGTGTAATAGAGTCAGGGCCGGTCCTTGCCGTTCTGCCACCCTAGCGAGACCAAAGAAGGCAGTCCCCGCAAAACTAGAATAGTCCCAGTAAGCAAAATGACATTAAAACGACGTTTACTAAGACGTATTTTCCAGACGTTGAAGTTAGGTTGAATTTAGGTTCTGAATGAAAGGTGAAAATAAGTATTTTCCAGACGTTGAAGTTAGGTTCATTTTCGGTTCTGAACCAAACATGTCCGTGGATGTGGATATCAAGACCGGTCCGAAATGCACCAAAAAAGACGTTCAAAAGGCGTCGGCCCGTGCTTACTGATGTGTAGCCTACAGTGTTGCCTGAAATTGAATTTTATGAATGCACATCTGTGGTAAGCCTACCGTTTGTAAAACACCAAAAAAAAATATGTTGGCTCTTGCTTACTGGTTCCTGTGACTAATCAATTTGGCTATTTAAGCTCTGAATATCAGCTACCCAACTTTATCAGGAGTTATCGTGAGTCTATTTGCAATGTGTTTACACAGCAGGAAATGCAGAAGTATTTTCTTTTTCGCTATGATCAGCTTGTCAAAAATTTACGGATACAAACTTGAAATGGGTTGAAACTCCTGGACAACAGTTGTGATTGTCCATTTTACTTTGACCTGTCCTCTTTGACCTGTCCTGTTTTTAGGATATGTTGTTTGTTAACCTGAAAACAAATGTTTTATTTGATTGGGCGCCATTTAGGTTAGGCTATTTGATCTGTGAAATCTGCATGATGTAGAAAGTGTCCATCTCATTACATTGTCATACATTTTATCTCCAGCCTGTAGGCTACAGAAAAGGCCACATACTCTTTCTTCCATATACTATATCTGCTACATGATTTATGTTAGATTATTTCCTTGACGGAACGTTGGTGGAGCATGGCAGCGATGCGTCTCTCCAACAGCACCCTGGAGAGGTGCGCTGGGAATGGACAAGCAAAATATTTTGCACCCCTGCCTTTGACAAAGTGGGCACTGCTTACCACAGGGTGGCATCAACGCTCATCTTAAAAGCCCTTATGCAACTGGTTGAGAGAAATTGTCATTGTTTTGGGGCAGAATTATGTAAGGTTTTATGTGTTGTTGTTAGAGGTGCGTCTTGGTCAGTTTAGCTCAGAAAATGCTGACCTCGTCAATCTGCCGTCATAGGCTGCCTAATGAGCGGGCCGGCCGTGAATAGACTAGTAGTAACTATGTAATAACATAACAATAGCAGTGGTAGTAGTAGAAATACTATTTACCAAGAGTATCAGTACCTGTCCTCGATGATGCTGAAGTAGAAGCTGGAGAGGTCCCTGGTGATGAAGGCTTGGAGCAGGCGGATGGCCCTGCCCGCATCAAAGTCATTGTAGGCATCTGTCATCTTCATCCTGTAGTCCTAGAGCAGGTGCAGCAGGTACTGGTCAATGTAGTTCATTTCTTTGGGGTCCACTGCCTGAGTACGAGGGTCAAAACCCTGCAGATTCCCCAGCAAGAACTTCAGGGTATTCCTCAACTAGAAAGAGAAAGGGTGGGTGGAGGAGTTATTATAGCATTGTCAGTCTGGAGAAGCAGGGAGAGACCAACTTCCATACAGACGGACATATTTTCAGACAAATTGACAGACACACAGAAGACACCATGAGAGACTCACCTTATCGATGATGTCTCTGGCTGAGTTGAGCATGGTTGAGCCGATCTGGACCTCAGAGAAGACATTGGACTTTGCCACCCACCAGTGCAAAACATCCACCCCATAGGCAGGAGACACACTGGGGTCCTGGGAGAAAGAGAGGGAAAGAGACAGAGAGATAGGGGATGAGAGAGGGGTCGCCTTCCCACCCCAGGAGTGTGTGTGTATGTGTTTCTCCAGTAAGTGGGGATCTCATCCACTGCCTCTCACCTTCCCACCGTGGATGACTGTATCTGGGTCTACTAAGTTGCCTAAAGACTTCTCTCCTTTCTCACTGACCACAAAGTCATGTACTACTAGAGCCCTGAGAGAGAGAAATTACTAATGTATACATTTTCGTCTCTGAATTTCATACAGACACAGATACAGCAAGCCCACTTCGATATTAAAGACTTTCACTGACTTGTAGGGTGCCTTTTTCTGCACGCCGACACTGGTGAGCAGAGAGGACTGGAACCAACCTCCTATCTGGTCCTTCCCCTCTACATACACATCAGCCCTTGCGTCCGACTCTGAGGGAGAGAAAGGGGAGAAATATGTTGAGGTTTTAGCAGTGGTTCTCTGAAAGCTAGCATCTGCAGCTGAAACAATAAAGCAGACTCCTCGGCTCTGTTTTAGTCAAAAGCATTCATTTATAAGTCCAAAAATGTATGTAGCAACTGCAGATTCCAGCTTTAATCAGATAGTATCAGGAGAACTTCACTGACATTGTCCACAGAGGCAGGAGAAGTCTAGGGAGACAGACTACAGCCATTGTTAGTGAGGACATTGAGGCCTACGCATATGACAAGTCTGCAGTGTACTGAAGTACACCAATATCGTGCAACAACGCCTTGACCAATGCCCTGTGTGAATGTAGTAGCAACATACATTCCACCTTGGCCAGCCTTCAGAGACAGTACAGAAATGTTACATGACGGGCAGTTTTCCAAAGCCACAGGGCAGTGTAGAGGTTAGAGAGAGGCTTGAAGATCCCCCCTTGCTGCCTTTCGAGAGACAGATAGCTGACTAAACAGAAAGGAGCACAGTCAGGGAGTGAATTCTGAACGGGAAACTACCCTTAAGGTGCTCAGCTCCCAGATAAGGTGCTCAGAGTCCCACATGCTGAGGAGAGAGTCAGAGAGAGGGTGGGAGGGAGAGAGAAAGTGAGAGAAAGAAAGCGAGAGAAAGGAAATAGAGAGAAGGTGTTGGAGAGGAGGTAAAAGAGAAGGAGGGATGAGTAGAGAGAGTAAAGTCTTGGGTTGGGTTATTAACCTGGCACAAGGGGTTTGCGTAGGGAGGCAGGGAGCCAGCTGAGCCGTGACTCAGAGTCAGAGTCGCTCTCCTCCTTCATCTCTGAAAACACAACACAACCACTCACAATGGCAACATGGATACATCTCAGGAAATGGTGTGGTTTACATGTATCTGAACATTGGAGTGTACAAAACATTAAGAACCCCTTCCTAATATTGTGTTGCACATCCCCTTTTGCCCTCAGAACAGACTCAATTTGTGAGGGCATGGACTCTACAAGGTGTCAAAAGCGTTCTACAGGGATGCTGGCACAAGTTGACTCCAATGCTTCCCACAGTTGTGTCAAGTTGGCTGGATGTCCTTTGGGTGGCAGACCATTCTTGATACACGGGAAACTGTTGAGCTTGAAAAACCCAGCAGCGTTGCAGTTCTTGACACAAACCGGTGCACGTGGCACCTTCTACCATAGCCCGTTCAAAGGCACTTCAATCTTTTGTCTTGCCCAATCACCCTCTGAATGGCACACATACACAATCCATGTCTCAATTGTCTCAAGGCTTAAAAATACATCTTTAACCTTTCTCCTCACCTTCATCTACACTGATTGAAGTGGATTTAACAAGTGACATCCATTAGGGATCATAGCTTTCACCTAGATTCACCTGGTTAGTCTATGTCATGTATGAAAAATGTATGCACTCACTAACTGTAAGTCGCTCTGGATAAGAGTGTCTGCTAAATGACTAAAATGTAAATGTAATGAGCAGTTCCTAATGTTTTGTACAATCATCCTCACCATCAACAATAAACACTTATCTAAGGAGGTGTCACAGTGTGTGTTCCTCAGGGAGACTTATCTAGTTGTTGATGTGAGAGGACTAAGCTGCTACATAGGTAGAGATAGAGTTTAAGTAATTGCTACTGGATGAACTATTCACAATGAGCAATGTGGCAAATAGAGATAGCATTACCAGGAAGTTTGTAAGTCTTCAGTAACTGCGTAGTGCAGTAAGGACGCTTAGCATTACTGGCTGTGTGAGCATAGGTAGGCACTTACCAAATTGTGATTTAGCTAGGCCTAGCTAAGACGCAACCTTCAGAAACAACCTTGAATTCTAAGAATTTAACGTAATCGCTAGTGTAAGAATACTTGGCAGCAGTAGTATGTAGCTTTGCCAGAGTAGCTAACACTGAACTTCACCTTCAAGAACAGCAGCCCAGGAGGTTCCACTGTCAAACCAGATGTCCAACACATCTTCTCCACGCTCATAGTCTGTTACCTCTTCTGCTTTACTCTGACAAACACACGTGTTAACCTTCACACACGGTGCTAAAGTCATCTCCTAATTATACAACCATATTCACTGACTTGTGAGTGAAAGTAGCAGTTACAGTGCCTCCAGAAAGTATTCACAACCCTTGACTTTTTCCCCATTTTGTTGTGTTACACAGCCTGAATTTAAAATGGCTTAAATTAAGATTGTGTCGCTGATCTACACACAATACCGTATTAGGTCAAAGTGGAACTACGTTTTTAGAAATGTTTACAAATTAATTACAAATGAAACTGAAATGCCTTGAGTCAATAAGTATTCAACCCTTTTGTTATGGCAAGCCTAAATAGGTTAAGGAGTAAAAATGTGCTGAACAGGTCACATAATAAGTTGAATGGACTCACTGTGTGTGCAATAATAGTGTTTCCCATGATTTTTAGATCTACCCCAAATATATACCCCACACATACAGATAATTGTAAGGTCCCTAAGTCGACCAGTGAATTTCAAGCACAGATTCAACCACAAAGACCAGGGAGGTTTTCCTATGTTTTGCAAAGGGCACCTATTGGTAGAGGGGTAAAAAAAAAAAAAAAGCAGACAATGAATACCCTTTGAGCATGGTGCAGTTATTAATTTTACACTTTGGATGGTGTCACTACAAAGATACAGGCACCCTTCTTAAATCAGTTGCCGGAGAGGAAGGAAACCACTCAGGGATTTCACCATGAGGCCAATGGTGATTTTAAAGGTCATGAACAATCAAAATCATATTTTTCATGAAATTGGATGCTATTTGAATGAAACCAGATCAAAGTATGATGACCAAAGTATGGAAAATGACTGGCTTCTATATTGATAAAGTTTGATCATAAAGTTACTGGTCCACTCTCCCATTTCAAACATTTGGATTTAGGAGGCAGGATTATTAAGGGGATAGGGTGACATCACCCTAACTCTCATTTTAATACACCAATGGTAACATGATATTCTCTTACCTAATCTAAATAAGTACCACATTGTAACCAACATTGGAAAAGGCGTGTTTGGAGGGGCATGGTTTATATGGCTAGATAGCTACTCTACTGGTGCCAGCATTTTACTGTAGGGTGTCAGCAAATATAATTAAAAGTTTACACTATTCATCTATGGCAAAGATACTTTCATCTGTGTCTGGTGTTAGCTAGTTACTGGCTAGCTAGGTCTTCAGCCAGCATGGAACAAAAGTGGGGGAAGGGTCGTTCAAAACTCTGACGCAGTTGTCATGTCAACACATCCGTCAGTGCTGCTATGAACTGCATCACAAGAGACATGCCAAATGGGAGATGTATAAAAACATTGATGCAATTTTTATTTTGTTTGAGTTACTTTGTGCATCACCAAATTTGCATGAGATTATATTACTGCAACACTGCATCCAAGTTTCTTGACATAGGCGTTTCAAAGAGCTGTCAGACAAGGCGAGCTCATTAAAATAAGCTCCCCGCCCACTCAGCCTGTCTTTTCAAACTTCCTGGTAGTTAGCCATGAGAAAAAGAGTACTTTTTCTCAAATTCTTAGCATTTTTATCCCCCAAAAATATTATGAGTGATATTTTAGTCATTTAAAAAGGCTATTTTACATGGGAATCAGAATGACTGTTTGGGACCTTTAAAACAGTTACAGAGTTTAATGGATGTGATAGGAGATAACTGAGGATGGATCAACAACATTGTAGTTACTCCACAATGCTAACATAAATGACAGAGTGAAAAGAAGTAAGCCTGTACAGAATAAAAATATTCCAAAACATGCATCCTGTTTGCAATAAGGCACAAAAGTAATACTGCAAAAAATTTGGCAAATAAATGTTGCAAATAAATGAACTTTTTGTCCTGAATACAAAGCATTATGTTTTGGGCAAATCAAACACAACACATCACTGAGTACCACTCTTCATATTTTCAAGAATGGTGGTGGCTGCCTCATGTTATGGGTACGCTTGTCATCGGCAAGGACTAGGGAGATTTTTTTAGGATAAAAATAAACAGAATAGAGCTAAGTACAGGCAAAATCCTAAAGGAAAACCTTGTTCAGTCTGCTTTCCAAACAGACACTGGGAGACAAATTCACCTTTCAGCAGGAAAATAATCTAAAATACAAGGCCAAATATACACTGGAGTTACTTACCAAGACAACATTGAATGTTCCTGAGTGGCCTAGTTACAGTTTTGACTGAAATCGGCTTGAAAATCTATTGCAAGACTTGAAAATGGCCGTCTAGCAATAATCAACAACCAACTTGACAGAGCTTAACACATTTTTTCAAGAATAATGGGCAAATATTGTACAATCCAGGTGTGCAAAGCTCTTAGACTTACCCAGAAAGACTCAGCTGTAATCACTGCCAAAGGTGATTCTAACATGTATTGACTCACTGGGTTGAACACTTATATAATCAAGATATATTGGTGTTTTATTTTCTGTTCATAAAAAAAACATAACTTTTCTTCCACTTTGACAGAGTATTTTGTGTAGATCGTTGACAAAACAATGACAATTAAATCAATTTTAATCCCACTTTTTAACACAACAAAAATGTGGAAAAAGTCAAGGGGTGTGAATACTTTCTGAAGGCACTGTATATGTACTGTTCCCTGCTCTGCACTGCGGAGAATCACCTTCTTGAGCACCTCAGGGGGCAGTAGAGATTCCAGGGGCAGCTCCCACCAGCAGTCACTGCCCTTCTCTGAGAAGAACTGGGCCACATGGGATACAGTGTGCCTGTAGGGGGAGAGTGCAGGGGTCAGAGTGTGGTGGCGGTTTGTGTGTGTGTGTGTAATTACTTGTTCAGGAGAGGCTCTCCTGTCTCTTTGTGGTAGAACACAGGTATGGGCACACCCCAGCTTCTCTGGCGAGAGATACACCAGTACAGTCTTCTGTCCAGCTGGGCCAACAGACTGCCCTTTGCTGACTCTGGCATTACACGCACCTTTGCCAGCACGTCCTACACACACAGTCAGAAAGAGTTTCTTAATCCTAGAGGAAGACGCATTCTCAGTTTCTAAGAGTCCAACTAACTGGGTGGGACTTGTTCTAAGTTATGTGAGTGAGAGTCATCGCCTGTTTGAAAGAATCATTCTTAATGTATCACAGTGAGAACTGAGAATCATTCTCTGTTTGTAAGAGTTATTCCCAGTGTGTGATTCCAACCTTGGCCTTGTCTTTGAGGCTTGCAGTGTTGATGAACCACTGTTTTCTGGGTTGGATGATTACAGGCTGTTTACTCCCCCAGTCGTATGGGTAGCTGTGGACACACTCCTCCTCCTTCACAAGAGCACAGACCGCCTTCAGCATGATCACTGATACACACACAGAAAACACACAAAAGCGTGTACAGAGAGGCAGAAGCTGAACTAGAACTCTGTCGCTCACACACATACAGTTTCGTCCTACCCGTGTAATTTCCCTCCCCCATCACAGACTGCTAGCTCATTGAACCTGCCTTCCTCATCCACCATACACTCCTGGAACAGGAGAAACATACACAGCCGTACATATATAATTGGAAGTTCATAAAGACTTACAAACTACTGTTTTAGCCTGGACGCCAGACTGTTTCGGGAGTTGGCTTATCAGAGACTAACTGGCATCCAAGTTAGTGAACTCATTCTGCTCTGTCAATCCAGCTGCTATATCAGTCAACTAAAAGAACGCACCCCTGTTAGTTTAAACTGTGAGGCCACACTGTGGGCAGGAGCTGTGTGGACCAATCCTGTTCCTTTTCCCATGGTCAAAAGATTAGCTGGAAGCAATGGAACCTCTTTCCCGGGAATGGTGGGATGCTGGCAGACTCCGCCCTCAAGTTCTGCACCTAGAGGTGGGGATGGGAAGAAAAAGCATTAGAATGACAGGTGAAAAGACAGTGTGTGTGTTTGTCTGAGAGTGTGGATAGTTTACCTGTGAAGGTGCCCACACTCTCCAGCTCTGTGCCCAGCAGAGTTGCCAGGCTGGAAACGCGCTCTGTGGCCACTAGGAGAAGCTGTGAGCTGTCTGCCCTCTTCACTACTGATTACCTGTGGGTGAGAAATGATAACACATTGACAACAGATAGGAGATATACCTTATCATGTTAGTGATTCTAGTGAATGTGCAGTCTGCAGGTATCTGTGTGCGGGGTGTCTGTTGACAGTGGCACTTACTGGGCATTGGAAATAAAGCAGATAGCCTGGTTGGCTGGGATGGTCCATGGTTGGGTGGTCCACACCAACACAGAAATGCTGCCCAACTCCCCTGCAGCTTCCGCCATCTTAGTGGGCAGGATGACCAGGGCGAAGGTGGCGTAGATTTCCTTGCTCACATGCTGGGGGCTATACTCTAGTTTTGCCTCCGCAAGAGCCGTCCTGGAGAGAGAGAAGGTAGAGGAAGAAATAGAGATATGGAGGGGGAGAATGGAAGGAGGGGTGAGAGGGGGGCTGAGAATGAGGAGGGACAGAGAAAGCCACCAAAGTAGAGACTTGTGATATCCAGAAGCCACTCAGTGCTACCTAACTGGAGGAAGGAGACCAGAACACTGGTGTATAGTCCTGTGAGATCAGAACCTAGAAATGACAACACAAGAACAAACAGTTAGATCCTGAAATGGAGAGAGAGCAAGAGAGAGAAAGAGAGAGTAAGAATGAGTCAGGTCCTCTGGAGAGGCAGGCTGGCCCAAATAGAATAGAATAGAACAGAATAGAATAAAATTGAATATATCCCACCTTGCTGTGCATCTCCTGGAAGACCTTGTGCTGAGCTGCCTCATAAGTCCCATCAAAGGTGTAGTAGCAATTATCCCAGTCCGACATCCCTCCCCAGCGCTGGAACGCAGCGCGCTGACAAGCGATTGCCTCCTCCGCAAACTCCCAAGCTGGAGAGCAGAGGGACCAGAGTTTATCAACAGAGACACAGCTGATTTTCTTGCATCATACATACACAGGGGGATATCAGATTCTATTCAATCAATAGGCAGAGTTGTTTTTGTGTTTTAGTGATCAACTGTCATGTGATGAGTCATTTTGCCTGAGACCTGAATATTTCAATGCCTAGGCTTTTAGTGGCCTACGCTTTCAGCTCAATAGGCTAACATGATCCTAGCCGGCTCTTGCTGGCGACCTGGGTTTGATACCCAGTCAGTTCCATCCGTACACAGTAAGTGACCAGTAAGTATGAGCTATTTACACCCAGCCTGGGACATAGTGGACCTGCTTCCCCCTCAACATCTCAAAGCGGTTCTGGATGTCTTTGAGAATCTGGAACACACAACATAAGGAAGCATTTTGATAGGGCTTTGACTTGCCCTAGTGAAAGCCCTGCTTTGACATTGAGTGACCACTGATTAGGCTAATCTCTGTTATAGTTTCAAGTCCACTTAAGAAACATTGCACAGCTGGATTCTCAGTAATTAGTTAATAACAACCAATGATGGATATAAACCCTGGATTGCGCATGCTATGTATTGGCCATTGAGAGGCTTTGAAGCCACCGGTCGGCCATATTGGCACTCCCTAATAGGAGCAGTCCTCTAGAGGAATTAACGGAATTCTACTCCATTTCAATTAAATATTTCAAGGACAAAATTACATGTATTTAAGTATTTTTTTGTTGTAGTGGGGCCAGTAACATTAGTACACAAAAAAACCAGTAAGGAAAACATTTATATATATATATATATATATATAATTTTTATGTTTAGCTCACATAATATAACTTAAAAGTATACATAAAGGTGTCTGTAATAGAATAAACGTGTCAACAACAAATGTAGACATTAATAAATGCATTTCTATAGCTTCCAAAATCTTTTTTACAATTGAGGAGGAGTACCAAGATGGCTGCGCGGTGGCTTCAATACAGCGCCCCCTATCAGTCATCCAGGGTTTATACCCATCGTTGCTTCATTGATAACAACATACTGTACCTTATTGAGGGCATGTCCCACATGTGGGTCCCCATTGGCGTATGGGGGGCCATCGTGGAGACAGCATTCCTTCTTGGCCTTCCTCTCGCTCTGCCATGAGTAGAGCTCTGCAAAGCCACACTCCTAGACACAGGAAGAATCAATACACTGACTGTCAAATCTGAAGTCATAAGACAGGCACATAGCTCAATCTCAGACACTCTGTCTCATGGAGAAACGCCTAGCTAGCAAACCAGAATGATACTAGCTAGTCCTGAAGTGGGTAGCAAACATGTCTTGTTAGTTTATCTCACGTTTCTTAGCAATCGGTCACACCCTTTCAAAACGTGGCTCACTGGTAAGCTAGCTAGTAGCTACACTATATGACCAAAAGTATGTGGACACTCGCTTTCGAACATCTCATTCCAAAATCATGGCCCGTAATATGGAGTTGGTCCCCCCTTTGCTGCTATAACAGCCTCCACTCTTCTGGGAAGGCTTTCCTCTAGATGTTGGAACATTGCTGCGGGGACTTGCTTCCATTCATCCACAAGAGCATTAGTGAGGTCGGGCACTGATGTTGGGCGATTAGGCCTGGCTCGCAGTCGGCGTTCCAATTCATCCCAAAGGTGTTCAATGGGGTTGAGGTCAGGGCTCTGTGCAGGCCAGTCAAGTTCTTCCACACCGATTTCGACAAACCATTTCTGTATGGACCTCACTTTGTGCACGGGGGCATTGTCATGCTGAAACAGGAAAGGGCCTTCCCCAAACTGTTGCCACAAAGTTGGAAGCACATAATCATCTAGAATGTCATTGTATGAGTTTCTGTCCGGTTAGTTTCATGGGGAATTCAGTGCGGAGAAACAACACACTATCACAGTACGGGCCCCGCTCCCTGGGCGGCTGCAGACTGAACGGTGCCTTCGGTGGAGCTGACATTTTGACAGGAGCTGGTGTTGAAGGAGAGTGCGCGGTGGAGTAGGGCGCCACTCCAGGCACTCGGTCCCCATCTCGCTACGGTCTGGCTCACTGCTGAGATGCGGCACAGCAGCATGGAGAGGCAAGCACTTTGTACTATTCAGATCTAGCTACCAAAATTCTAAAAAAGAGGCAGTTTGGTTGGTTTGTTGTTGTGAAATGGTTCTCTAGAAGAGAGCTCTATGGACACTATGAAGGGACAAATTAATTGAATTGCGTTGTGGTAATTCGTTTATTATTTTTTTACCGCAAGAGATCAGGGAGGACAACCGTGATAAATCTTAGGAGGAGGGGAGACCCTAGCCTAATATTGTCACGATCTTCAAATTATAAACCTGTGAATTAATAGGGATATTAATTGACCGTTACAGGCATATAGGCCTAAAAAAGACCATGATTAAAAACACAAAGGCTATTATTTGTATTGCTGAAAGTCACACCCTTAAATTAGGTAAAAGAAGAGGTCTCAGCGGTGTGGTATATGATAAGGTTTCGGATAAAGTGTAGGTTTCCATTTGAGGATAAGACAGGTGGTTTTTGGGATGCGCCTTTTTGATCTGACGTCACACGGTAGGGGTATAAAATCCCCTAGATTTGTCCTTCAGTCGTTCACACTACAGTGAGAAAAGCCATAGACAGGACGGTCACACTAAGCCGCTGAGAAAGAAACCGAAAACTAAATGGCTAAAATGGTGACGGCTTACATTGGATTCCTTCTCCTTGCCTTGCATTGTTCATCGCAGGTAGGCTATGAACTTATAAAATGATTTACTCTTTACAAAGTTTGTTGAAATGAACCCAGTTTATTTAATTAGGCTACCCACTCTGTGTATAGTAAATGCATTTCAACAGGTGCAACATTCAATATGGCTTTTGACCAATTTTCTATAGTTTCAATCTAAATTTAGGATTTATTGACAATCGGCGGGTTTTCTCATTGAAAACCTAATGATGGCGTGGATAATTGTCCTCGGATGTTGTCAGTCTTATAATGCCAAAATGTGTTCGAATTCTAACGTGCCAATGTGCAACAGTAATTCCTGCTGATGTTAAATCTTCACAAATTAAATCCAGGATTTTGGCATTTGGCCTATATTCTATGGGAAAAAATAAATATTTCCACAAGGCGAGTGCTCTAAATGACTTAATTTAATGACGTGTTATCCGAAGTGTATTTTGTTTGGAATACATATTTGCTGTGGGGCTATTGTCTTAGGCACATGACTTGTAGTCTAGATCCAAACTTTACGCATGCGTTTTTTGCCGCTTTGAAATTAGTCTGACGAAAGTATGTATTGAGAATTGTCTCGATTCGTCAAATGTTTAAGATTGAGTTTTTAAATAGTTTTTCACATGTGAAGTTTGGCCAATGACACTCCTCTGCTCTCGTTTTAGGTCCACGCGCAAAACACTACCACAAAGTCCCCAGCCATGACTGCCACGACCAAAGCTGGCGGCGCGAGTTCCAACATGACCAAGATGCCCGATGTTGTTGCTACCAATAACATCATCCCCAAAGGAGCCAGCGTGGCCTTGCAGTCCTCCTCGGTCACGCTCATCACCATCGCGTTGGCGGGCTCTCTCCTACAGGGCCGCTTCTAGAAGGCTCCTGTGCACTGAACAGACACCACAAAGACCAACATCAGCTGCCTAGATGGGGACAATTATGTTTTACAATGAGTACACTTAACTTAAAGGCAGTCACGTGTGCACCTAACTGAAGAGATTCAGTGGAATTGGGAGGCTGCAAGAGAACCACTTTGTAATTCACTGATGGGAATTCTTATTTGGGCTTACACTTCCCCGGCCACTTCAAACCAGTAGGCCTATACACCGTGTGCACTGGCCATAGGGCCTATGGTGTGGACCCCTCCATGGAGACAGGCCATGAAGAGGATGTATGAAACTCTACTCTTTGACTTGTTTGGTCCCACTGTAGATGGTAGGGTCATTTTGGACTTTTTTAACTTAAGTGTAAATTTGCGTTGTGCCTGGGTAATCCACTAATATAAAGAAATGTTGGTTGATGCACATTGTGGAACATAATGTATCCATTAGTCTGATCTTTGGCATGCATGGCCTTAACTGTGGTATTTCTACTCCTGCAACTGCAATGGGTACTGTCAAGCTTGATGTGATTTTATTTGAATAATATCTAGTTTTAGTGTAATTCTCATGTGTTAAATGTAATTATTTGACATGTACTTGTGACTAAATGTATTTGTTCTTGTAGGCTACAATAAAATGACATTGGCCTTAACTGACTTGTCTGTCTCCGTAGTCCAACGCTTGACTTGCCAACTAACTGGCTCTGTTAATTTGTCTCCAGACCTGGCTAAGCTATCAAGGCCTAGTAGGAATTGTGCATACTGACTCCAAGTTGCTTTATGCGACAAGCTCTTGGTTTTACCAATTTGTCTAAAGATTCTGACATTGATCCACATTTCAGTATTTGGCTCCGGCTCAGTATTCAGTTTCTCTACGTTACCTCTCGAAGTTAAGGTTTTGGATAGGGTTAAAGCATTATGTTAAGTGATTCATTTTGAATGTTGGAAGGGATGGGGTTAAAACAAATGGGTACTGCTAGGCTTGAACATGTGACCTTCAGATTGAATTGTTTAAAATGGCTAATATTAGCATTGCTAGCTATTTTTGAGGAATTTTGCTAGTACCTGTAATCACTACATTACCATCTCTCTAAAGTAAATTTGACTTGGCAAAGTTTGTGTATTTTAGCGTCGTCGTACTGTATTTCCATGCCACTAAGTGTAATTTAGACAACTGTCACATTAGCCTAGGGTGCAACTCATGTCTAGGGCACAAATATTGAATGCAGCTATGGTGGTACTAGCTAACATGTCTGACTACACCAGTGTACTAATAAGCAGCAAAACATGTCACAGTTGGTGGTATTGTCACTGGCCTGAATCTAATCCAATCAGGAGCCAGTCTACATCTGTAAAGCGTAGCATTAACTTTCAAACAAGTTTCTGTTATTTCTCAAGCTATGTTTATAATTGAGGGATGATAAGCATTGACCCTGTTTTTCTGTTAGACAAAGTGCACAGTTGGGTGCCAGACTGATCCCCTGGTTATGAACGGATGCCGGGACCTACCAGAAGATTGCCTGCTGCAGTTGTTCGAGAGCTGTCCAGTTTGGAGCCAAACCTGCAGCATAGAAAAGACCAGGGGGGGCCCTCAACATCATGTAGACATGCCCTCACTGTGAGCATTCCTGTGAATGGAATGGTCAGCCACATGTTGGCAAGTGTCTGGCCAGCAACTGTCAGCGGCAACAGCTTTCGCATTCTCATCATTTGTACAAATACAGAAGGTAACCCACTTTGATACATTTGATAACCCAATGTGTGGGTGTCAGATTAACTGCCTCAGCTCTGCTTTTTTCTACAGGTGGACTGGAGATATGTTTGCCAGAGGGCAGCCTGTCGTTTGATGGGGTGACCATAATTGGGTAGGTTTTATATGACCTGTTCAAACTTCAACATAGTACCTGTTTGTGTGTCAGATATTACCTATCCTAACTGCCACTGGTAATAGAACAGTGACTGTGTGTACAGTATTTGTACACAAAAACAAGTATGGAGACTTGTAAATTGATGTGATGAAGTCCAGACTGAAAGACGGGCTTGATACTGATGTCTGAATGAAGAGAGACCTGGCACTCTGCATAAAAATGTGACTAGACACAACTTTTACTTGTGTTTTCTTTTTAGTATTGAGTTGAATGGCATCAATCAATATGGGGAGGGAGAAACCCTGTGTATTCTGCAACCCTGTGTATTCTGCAACCCTGTGTATTCTGCAACCCTGTGTATTCTGCACCAGAACCAGGGAACTGCTATTGTATACTGGACATCACCAGACAAAATGTATCGGCTTAGAATGACAATGAAAGATGAAGGTGCACATTGTTATATTAGCAGAACACTGCTTCTATCGTATTATGTAAAGGGTTGTTTATTTTACATGGACCTATTACTGCATTTGGAAGTTATCAAAATGCTTAGTTTAGAATATCTACATAAATTTAGCAATTGCATTCTTCTCATATTACTCTGTAAGCTACTGACCTATTCAAAGCTTCCTCCGGCATCTGGCCATACATCTGCCTGTAGTTATTGAACTCAACCTGCAGGAGGTTTGTTTGTTGTGATTGAGTGGAGGGAAACAGCTGCAAGGTTCTGACAGATGGGTGTGTCTTGGTGGTGGCAAGGACAAACTCAAAAACACCCCCAAGCCAACTTACATTTGGCTTCTGTCATGGCTGCCAGAATTTCTTCAGGAGCAAGCCAAAAAACGAGGCCAAATCAGCAGGTGCAGTTCCCCTTTAAAGACATACATTCCACACCTGAAGTGAAGCCACTCCAACCAAATTCCCAAGTCCCCCTGGCTCACACCTCCCCGGCCGCTTCAAACCAGTAGGCCCACACACTCCTTGCGCTCTGGCCCCAAGCTCATAGGGCCTACAGTATGGTCCCCTCCATGGAGGCGGGCCATGATGAGGATGTACAAAACTCTGATCCTTGACTCCTTTGGTCCCACTGTTCCTGTGGGAACAGTACGCTACAATAAAATGCTAAATTAACATGGGCCTAACAGTGACTTGTCCTGTTTCTGTATTAATGCTTGACATGTAAACTAATTGGCTCTGCTCAATTTCAGTCTCCAGACCCTACATACTGTAGGCTAGGCTATTTAGGCCTAGTAGGGATTTTCAAAGTTAAAACTGGTTTAACTTCCCACAATTATTATTTACCTTAGCTTAACTATAGTGCTGGCATGTTTGCCATTCTTCAGGCAGTCATTTTTCAGCCATTGTCAACTAAATGTGACCTACTAGCCTAGATCAACTTTCAGTTTTGAACATATACAGTGCCTTCAGAAAGTATTCACACCCCTTGACTTCCACATGTTGTTGTTGCAAAGTGGGATTAAAATGTATTTAATTGTCTTGTCAAAAATCTACACTAAATACTGTAGTCAAAGTGGAAGAGAGATGCTAACAAAAAAGGTATGGATAATAAAACTCTTGATAAATCAACCCTCTGAGTCAAT